GCCGTTCTGTACGCCAAACAGTCGAAGATAAGGTGGGTCGGACCACGTAATGCATATGAACGACAACCGATGGACAAGAGCCGTTAGTGACTGGATTCCTCGGGATGTGAAACGCACTGCATGAAGACAACCGACCCAATAATGATCAGAGTTCTTTAAGAAAATGCTAGAAGAAAGAAATGATGCTCAACGAGTCCCAAGACCAAGCAGATCCCACTAGGCTGCTACTGCACACGATAAGGAGCGATAGCAAATTTAGTGGCGTCCTTACGAGTCACTCGATGATCAGTAGGGCGATATTGGCTGCCAATACTGTATACAGCAAAATATAGGATTCACCCATCAGCGTCTAACACTTACTGCTTCGTAGCTGTTCTAGTGAGCCGTACATAATCGAAATATTGCGGATTCACGATTGACAGACCATCCATTAGTGTGAAAAAAGCATAGTGAAATCCATATGGAAAGCAAAAATGGGAAACTGTTAATAGACAATCATTACGGAATTTTTTTCCACAGCGAATTTGTAACATGTAGAGGATGCAAAAACGGTGACGAAGACTGATGGCGCTCTTCACTTTTCTTCTCGAAGAACTTCATGGTGGCCAAACGGCTCAACTGTTGCATCATTTTTCACCCTTACGCGACGGCGTGACCCACATGTGGGTCATACGATTAGAAAGTAGTGGCCGCATTCAAAATCAACATACCTTAGTTCACAGTGCACTTCACTAATCTAAATGAAAAGCATTAAAGTCTAAAGAGCTTTGTCAGTAAGATACCTTTCCCTATTTCAAAATGACAGAAGCCTAATCCTCTGCAGGCTAGAAGACGTTTTTTTGTTTCGCTTCTTAACGTCGAGCCTCATACTTCGAAGATGAAAGGAAAAGAAAAAAAAGATAAAGGAAGTAAGCAGGATTTTGGTCAGCAGGACAACACTATGTTCTCTGATGTATTGTTTTTGTTTGCAGCTGCCAATTTTGCGTGAAAAACTTTAAAAATGTAGATCTCGTCTTCAGTTTTTTGGGAGACTCAACTCTAAGCATATTTGAAATTAAAAGAATGAATTACAAAAATTACATTCACTCTTACAGAGGATATAGAGCAAACTCTCTTACACGAAGATGTAAAGTTCTCAACTCCTGTGCTGTTCTTTTAGCGCCGAAATTGTCGCCGGTAATGTCCAAGAAGCATCTTCGCCTCATAAGGGTTAAATTCGTCAAAGTATTGATTCGGGCGGTGACAGATCATGAAGGAATACAGTGATTAACAAGGAATTAGAGATCCACCCTCCAATGAACAAAATTATTGCATGATAATCCTCTAAATGCTTTACTGTCTCAACGTGTAGTTGACCTCCGATTTACAGCCAAAGTCTTTCCTAGAGGTTCTCCCAAGCATAAGGTGTTCACAATCTCCATTCTCCATGCAGAATCCAAATTAAGGGTAAACCAATGCCACTCATCACCACTATCCTGGTAACGAAGTGGTTGTAATGTAATAAAGTCGCCCTCGATCCACAACTCCGACTGTGGCCGGCCATGATTTAGGAAAGCGCTTAGCGTCGCTATCTCGATACTTCCTCAAAGCAAGGGAACCATGGCCGACTACTTATCCAACAAAAGTTGTACACAGAAACGCTACGACAAAAAAGTGTTGCAGAGAAGGTTTCAACATTACAAATAGGTCTTGCGAACACGCTTTTCACGAAGACATGGAACAAGTGCAGTGAACACGGAAAAAAAGTGATTGTGTCCTTAAAGGTGAATATAACCTTTGCAGACCTTGATGAAAGCGAAACAACAAAAACTTTAGCCAATAGTGAATAAATCCAATTATTAACAATCTTGTGTCCGCTCAAGAAGAAAGCACTAACCTATTGAACAACGTCGATATTAAAAGAGAGCAATCCCGGGGATTGGTATGCGATTGTGTCCTTCTTTTCCATAAAGAAACAAAACAAAAAGGATTTCCAAATTGTTGAGTTTATACGAGATCGATAAGGAGATAATTATTTCGGCTAACGTCTCCACGTCTTCGTCCTCATCAGAGCCGCGAGTCGGTGGTCCAAAAAATTGATAATAATGACGATGGTTTGACTTGATGGCGGTAAAATGTCGTCAAGAGTACACAGCAGTCTAAGAATGAAGAATGGCAACACCAAAAAGCCGAACTAGCGATCAGCTTGAACCATACCAGTATTCCTAATATTTAGATAGAATTACAATTAAGAGCAGTCAGGGTTCAACACCAAATCGGTAAACAAGTCAGTCATCTGACTGGCCACGGAGGAATGGTGGGCGAAATCGATAACATTGCACTGAACTGGCGACGATCTTTACTACCTTAACAAAGTTTGTGTTGTTTATGAAAGATCTTAAGGAATAGAAGAATACTAACAACATACACAGTAAGTAAATAAATCTTAAACAGATATAAAAAACAAATGATTTTTGTTATTCATTCCGATACAGGCAGGGATCTTTCGTTACAGCGGACAAGGGACGGATTGAATTGCCAGAACGGAAAACGATCTCACGGTGACCTAGTACGGCAGTAGACTGTGGGATTATGTACTTTGTGAAAAGTAACCATGAAAATCACATTGAATAGGCTGAGAAAACATGCGGACGGGAAGTCGTACCGTAGACGTCATCGACGTCATAAAGATGACTCGTTTCTTCCCAGTTACTTTGCCATACCACAAATACAATTCAGTAATTCATGTACTACGAAAATGGCCTTTGTTTGCACAAGGATAGTCGAGGGAAGAAAGAACTTGGAAGTGGATCGAGATTGAGAACCTTTTCTTAGACAGAAATCCTAGTAGCTCCGCTATAAAAGCTCTCGGCGTTGATCAATTCCTGAGGGATGCGTCATGCATTCTACTTCATTAAACATCATTTGGAGGTGATTGAATGCATACCTGGACTTCTTAATGACTCGCGGTAGCCTACCGATGCATCGAGCCAGTGCTGCTATCCTCCCAAACAAGTCTGGTACCATTTTGCCGAACCCGGAGAGATGGAAGGCTTGGTGGGCCATGGGCGTGCAGATCAATTCCACGTGTGTTGCAGGGTGCCTCCGACCACTACACCACACGCATCCTTAGCAGCTCCCTTATAACGAAGAAGAAGTCTTTCTAGTGAGATTCCGTTCGACATCCACCGTTCAGATCTCAAAATATGTGCTGATAAAATACTGGATTATCCTCTCTGGAGACCACTTTCATAACATATGACATGGCATCCTTGACACTCCAGTATTGACGAACGTTAATACCGATCTCTTTCAAACACGTTGAGAATCAACGATCGATTTCCTTTAGACAAGGTGAGAACTACTTCAACAGTTCCTTCTGACATCAATCCCAGGTTTGCAGTTCAGAACTCACAGCAATGCGTCGCCTTCGAGATCGGGTTGAATATCTCGAACAAAGCCGAAATACAGATGATAGCAACAATAACAAACCGATAATGTGAATAAAATATTTGTCTGGTAGTAAAAACGACAACAGTGCATGGAATCACAACAGGAAGACGTAGACAGGAGCTGTATTCTGGACACTGGAATAACTCTTTGTCAAAGAACAACGCAGAGGTCAAACGATTCACAAAAACGAACTATCATAGTCCTCATATCCATAACAAGATGAGTCAGATATAAAAACTACTCTCGGTTTCAAACAGTTGTACCATTGGTCGCGTTCAATGAGCGATATGAAACCAGTTACTAGTCGGGGAACTGGGCGCGTTCTCAGGTGGCGGCCGAGGGATTGAACGCGGACAAACGTGACCTTGTACTTGACCTGTTACACACTTGGTTCCTGGGGATGAACTCTCTGTCTCTGCTGTACTAGATTGACACATATATATGAATATGGATGGTATGGACGTAGAAAGACACTCAGACTATCTGTGTATACATTAGACGATGTGTTTGAGTAAATGTAGAACTAAATGTGTTCTGTACATCGATTCGTCTTGAACTCTGTAATTACCGGCAAGTATCATACATAGGTGGTTTGGAGCTATGTTTAAAAAATGAGTCAGTCGTCCGTTCTAGCCCAAAACACTGAAAGGAATAGAGTAAACGAATATTCGGAATGCATGAACCTTTTTATATGATGGGTGAGGATGTGTAGTCAACAACGAGTGAAGAAGGATTCTAAGAAGTGGAGGTTATTGAAATAAAGAAATGCTTAGTTGTCCTTTAAAATGACATATGTTGGCTTGTTGACGTATGAAATTACTATTTTTTATCCTGCCAGAAATGTCTGCTACAGACGTGTCGACTCCGGAACGACAAGAGGTCTTGATTGTCACGCTAACAAGATCGAGCCAATATGTGAGGGAGCAAGTGTAACGTAAACCACTGCGCTACACGCGCTTGTTAAGTGTTAAGAAAAAGAAATAAATGCAAGTTTTGAAGTGAATAAAGTGAATTCTGTGCATGGATTCGCTCCAGAACGCATAGAAATGATAACGAACTTTTCGGTGGTGATAAGAGAAAAAATAAAAGTGAAACGAATCACGTTGACAACACAACCTATTGCTATCGCAGTACTTCGGAGCCTGGAAAAAGCCCTCGATAACAACGCAGTGAAAATCGATCGAGGCTGCCCTCTCCAGTTCTTCTACCGTTGTTGTCCAGTATCTTTCCCACTGGAATGGACGGAAAAACACAAAACTAGTGCTATAATACTTAGTTTTGAACACCATTTGTTTGAGAATTAAACATCAGCGCACTGCTGAACATTTTCATAGGCTGAAATAATCCTGTGTTGTAGAGAGCTTTGGATGATACCTCTTCAGCCCTCGTCCTGTCGTAACGAAAACTTTATCATCTTGACAGATATTCATCATCGGTGGCATAAATGAGACAAACACGCGAAGAAAAAAAAATGGGGCAGCGAGTAAATCGATTCTATCAACGATCCAGAACATGAAAAAAAGTGCAAAGGTGAAGCAATTCGACCGGACTGGAGACATACGGAAGTATTAGAGGTCAAGGGTATCGAGCGTTATTTCTTCATATTTTTGTTGTCGACGAGAGAGGTTCTTCATTCGAGAGGTGCTCCACTTCACGAGATTTTGCTTGACGCGACAACGGCCGCTCGTGTGCCATCGATTCGGATCAATCCGGCTCTGAACAAGATGAAGACGTCAAAAGCAAGCTTGATAATCCAAGGAGTTATTAAGTGTTGTAGCACACGTGTGAGATAAAATGATAACGTGTGCGTTGCTCAATCCCTTAGCAATGCACTATGCATTCGACTCTATTTGTACCATCGTAGAGGTGTTTGAATGCATATTTGGCTTATATAATGACTTGCAGTGGCCTATTGACGTTTCATGTCAGTGATTTTATTCTCACAAACGACTCCGCTACCACTTTGTCGACATTGGAGGCAAGGGAAGCATAGTGAGTCGGAGATGTATAATCGAACCAGTGACCAATCCATTGTGTTTAGCAGACACTCTAATCACTGTACACCATTATATGCATATATATATATATGTATATATATATATATATATATACATGTACACATATAAATGTACATGTATACATGCATATATATGCATGTATATGCAATATACACACATACAAACATAGATGAATATATACATGTGTATATATATGTATATATGCACACAGAGAGTGGGGCGCTTGTAGCGCAGTGGTAGGAAGCGCCCTACAATATACATGGGAACAATCTCTTGCCACAGACCAACCAAGTCGTCCATCACTCCGGGGTCGGCAAATTGGTACCAGACTTGTCTAGGAGGATAGCAGTACCGGGTCGATACATCAGTAGACCACCGTGGTTCATTGTAAAGGCCAAATATGCATTCAATCATCTCCATCTCTTAATGAAGTGGAATGCATGGCGCATCCCTCAGGGATTCATAAACGCCGAGAGCTTTATCCTTTAATCGTTATAAAGAGAGCGCAGAGCCTAACAATATTTCAAAAACCGACTTTGCTTTAAGCTCCATATGACTAATCAACATGTAATCTGACATGAAACGACGACGAGGATACAACATCGACGGTATGAAGGACTGGGGATCATCGAGTCCCATTAAACGTTAGCCGCATAAACGCTTTTATCAACCTCGTGTTAGCTTATCATTGAAGGAACATACGTCAAGATTTGTCTGGTTGACGTTTACCTAATTAACCCACACTAGAATTTCCTTTTCTTTTTCTCAATGAAGACTTTTGAAACCCAACCGATCAATCAAACCACTATAAATGTTTGTTGTGTAGTTTTATACTGCCACATTGCTTTCAATTTAAGAAAGCATTTTGTGGTTAAAAACTCTACCATAAAGGGTTATACTTCGCCACATCAACAACAGTTAATCCAAACTTGTTCGAGCGGCTGAAAATCACACGATTCTTTTATAAAGAAGCCATTAAAAACGCTGATGATCGGAGGTGACACTAGAGTGCAATATATTTGAATCCATAATTTATGTTGTTAAGCAGAAAATTTCTGTCAAAATGAACATGAACAGCAACATTCCTATCGTATCACAATCAGCAACAATAACACACTGTGATCACTGTTTAATTCGTGGGTCGTTGAGAACACCATCACCTTTCTTCCATTCCTAAAACATTAGAAAATCCGCCAACATCATCGAGATTCAGCCCATTTCTCCCAGTTTCTAGGTGATTTCACAATCTATCAGAACTATCCAAGCTCAAATATTTCAACTCACCACCACGTCCTCCTGCTGTTCAGATCGTTGTAGGATACCATTTCGCAATCCGATACCCTGAAAATTGAGGCAATTTGGTGGAACATAGTCGTCTCGAACAAAGATCGCAGCAAAAAAAGTGGTTTTCCTTTAACGTCAGAATTCTTTTAACATTTGCGACTACCGCGCAAGGTAAATAAAACGTTAGCGTTAAAGAGAACTCCAAAGTTATTCAAAAGGAGTTGTCAAAACCAAACAGTGAATAATTACACCAAATTTATAGTTAGGCATTTGGACGAGTAGTAGTGAGCTCATCAATGCTCTAGAACATTAATAATCGTTTTGTTTACGATGATTCACAAGTTGTATCAAGTGGGTTAAGTTGCGTGGGGTCAGCTATAAGCGTGTTGTCCCGTGGGAGTAGATTGACGCGCTACAAGGTGCTGGGATCTTCTGAGGTAGATCTCATTTTTGTAGTGCTTGTCTCATTATGGTGAGCTTTTCTTAATTGGATAGCAAGGCAGATATGTTTCATCCAAGTTCCTCTGAATTTCGAATAATAAAAAAAGTATGTTGATCTCGTGACGTCTCATACTCTTCCAACTAAACTTCATCAACAGTACAACAAATAAATGTCCGCTCCACTCCTACCATTTGCGGAAATGGCTCTCAGCTCAATAGAGTGTCAAGGTCTTCCGAAACCACAATTTTAATTCTAATCACCCCAATTTACAGTACGGTACAGTGGTTACAGATGCCTTGTATCAGTGCACGCACGATAGTCAGTGATTCGACCTTGCACCGAACCCACAAAATTCTCATCGTTTCGGGGTCGGCAAATTGGTACAACACTGGTACCACAGGAAGAGCTCCTTCAGATACACAGCAGTCTGTGAATGCATGTGTTGAGGACTGTAACAGAGCTACACTATGATTCAGAGAGAGTGAGATTAACTAATATTTAACCACATTCATGAAGGAACAAAATCTCCAACTGGCAATCGAACCCACTCAAAAATTCGCAAACTTTCGGATGCCGGATGGTAGACAATGAACGAAATGAAAAAGAAATAGGATTTCATAAATAAAAGCAAACACAACTTTAAAGAAGCTTATTACCACAACGTTGCTGAAATATTTGCAAAGCTCTGGACCGCAGGTGTCTATGGTGGGGAACGAACGCGCTATTATCCTTTCCGGGGAGTAACGCGTTCACCACCACACCATGCGGGTCCTTTGTTTGAAGCTTATTACGCTTGATGGTTTTGTTGTCAGATAGCACAGTGGTAGTGATGTCCGTCATCACGAGCATGGTGCCAGTTCGATTCCGTTCCGAGCCAATCAACACTCTCATCTCTCCAGGGTCGGGAAATTGGTACCGGACTTGTCTGGGAAAAATCACTTTCTGCAATCCAGTTGGGAACTTTCCTGCACAGGCATCTCAGGACTCCAGGGAGAATTGCTCGACCAGCATTCTACGACATTCGAAATGAAATGGAAATCCTCAAGCAGCAACCGTAGCTACACGTAAAAGTTGGAAAATCTTCGTGGACAATGAATGGGAAAAGGAATCGAATGTGCGAAGTTCTGGGACTTGTACAGTAGACGTGAAGACGGGTCAAATGAAGTAAAAAATGTTTATTGTCATATCATAATATTATAATAGAACAACTACATTATTCTCTTCTAGTGCTTATATGTAAAATAAATTAGTAATTTCAGAAACCAAGGAAAAACTTCCGTAAAAGAAAATTTGGAGATGGAAATACTCGCCATGAAATACATTTCTACACTGAAACTGAAGATAGCAGTTGTTCTCACTAAACAAGCTTGGAATTTACCTTCATGGATTCTTCCACGTGCCAACCACATAATCGAGGCGACACCGTGTCAGTTGATATTATAAGCATGATGAGAAATACAAACACTGTAAACATCTGAAAGCCTAGTAGTTACTAGTCGTAGCTGATGTAGGGAGTAGAAAGCTTCTTTCGTAAAAAGGGTAATCAGCTATGAAATCAGTTGCATAAACATGCGCCATCTTAAAAAAATACTTCGAAAACTTTGTTTCTCTTCTCGCGTCTTCCACTATTTCTGTCGACATTTCTTTGGATCTAATCCACCTGCAAGAACTACACGAATAATTGGAACTTTATAAACAAGACTGCAATAGCTAAACGATGACGATGTAATCATCGAAAAAGCCGGAATTTTATAGAAAGTCTTTTTCTCGATAACGGAAAATGCCGAGTGTGTACAGGATTAGACAGGAATCCTTACTAGTTCAAAGACAGAATATCTTTCAATCAAGCTTCCAGCGATGCATATCGAATGTCGGATCGTCATATTCTCGCATCATGAATCTGTTATGGCTCTCGCTAATGTCTACGAGTCCCTTCAACGTCACCAATGAATGCCCTGGTTTGTCGCTTTATTTCTCCACACATTATCAATCCTATTATCATATGATATCACTTGTTAGCAGTGTCATGGAAGAATTCTTTATCATAGGTACTGGTTCCTGAAGCAGTGTAGGAGGGCGGTTCTCACGCGCTCATATGGTTTGTTCAACAGCGTAGGCATATTAAATCACTAATAGTTAGATAACAAACTTGGCATTACTTACCAATGAAACTTATTATCGGTATAAAACCTATTCCGTTCTAATGGTTCAAGTCCATAATGTCTACAGTGAAGCAAAATATTCTACGAAAAAGCATTTGATTGAGCGACAGAGGAATGAAGAACTGTGAATGAACATCACCTCCGCTTATATCACATACCTATAACTCCATTAATTATTAACTGGAGCGGGTAAAAATGAAGTTCCTATTTGTAAGTTTGGTACATTACAGTTGTGCACTGCTTATGGTTGGACCCAAAAAATATGGAGACATATTAATCTTGAGGACCTTTAGCTTTAATTTTTTTTTGAAAGGATACACACGGTTAACTGGCTGGAGTTTGCCTTAGGACGATTGAGTGAACATATGCAGCCACTTTTCGTCCACCACTAGCCCCATCCACTGCCTTGGTAGACATGTGGCACACAATCAGCTTACAAAAATTAATAAATTATTAGCAAACAATGCACAGAAACGCCTTGGTAGATCAATAACCAACAGACGTGTACAGAAACAAGCTCACAGTTTTTGATTAAATAATAGGGCTATCAATCAAAACGTACTAACTATATTGTTTGAATATAATGCTGAGATATTTGCAAAACTCCGGACCGCAGGTGCATGCGGTGGGGAACGAATCCGCACTGTTGTCCTTACCGGGGAGCAGCGCACTTCACCACCACACCATCTGGGTCTTTCGTTTTACCTGTCTCTCAGCTAGTTCTGTCGATCTTTTTGCCATTAGCAATCACCCGTCAACGGGATTGATCTGGGGAGCCCAAATCGGCATCGAACCCAGTTAAGCTGAGGCTTAGTTATAATCACAATCTTAACCCTTTTATTTACTGCCTTTTTCTTTTTAATGGCAGGGTCTCTCCGGAAAGGACAATAGCGCGCGTTCGTTTCCCACCGCACACACCTGCGGTCCGGAGTTTTGCAAATATCTCAGCATTATATACGAGTTATATTTCGCAACATACTCTGCCATTAAAGAGAAAAAGTCAGTAAATAAAAGGGTTAAAATTATATTGCTTGATTTGTTCATTTAATCATTGTTTTTCATGTTCTCTGCTCAGCTGATCGTTGGATTTTTATACGCGACACGACTTTAGTTAAAAACTTCAACTTCTTCGAAATGAAGCATTATAAGTGTGGTTGAGCAAGGTTTGAAAGATCAACAACTCCAGAAGGTATTTAAAGGGTGACTGAAGATTGGTGGTCATCTAACGAGTTGAGTTGATAGTCACAGCCACAGCTTGAAAAGAAAGGGACATTGAGTGATGCAGTCGTTGACTGTCGCTGTTTGGTATCTGCCACTGCACCCGGGACATACTGAGGCTTTTTCTTACCTTGAATTTGGTTAGTTGTGCCTAAAAATTGGATAGCTAAACCTTTATGGAGATGTAACAACGAAAACAACAACATAGTGGGGTTATGAAGTATACAGCGGTCACATAAGAACGGTCATATGAGAACTAAAGACTATATACAACACACCCATGATGTAAGAAGATGCGTACCAACGGTTAGAGTTAACAAGGTTTCCGATAAGCATAACTGCATGATTGATCTCGCAAGCTGATAGTGATTCTTGCAAAATGTCTAAAGCGGAAAAAGATACTGTATGCGCAGTGCGCAGTGGCTTTTATCACTGCAAGGTTTGCACAAGCTGGGCACATGTTTTGATACCATTCAGAGTAGGTAAAAACAGCTACTTAAGAAGTCCTAGATTTTCTACTCAGCATAATTTAATAGATTAAGTGAGCTGACTCAATGCATGTAGACATTAGGGAAAAGAATAGAACGACATACAAGAAAATTCGTTTGCAAACTTCAGCATGGAAACTTCATCAGATAAGAACCAGACAGCTTGCACAATGGGAGGTAAGTTAAATGAATGAAAACTCGAATGCATGCAGTGGTCACTTATTACCACATGCCTTCTTGAGCAACACGAAATTATCACCTATCACAATCAGCGAGTAATAGCAGACGACTAGGTCCAGTCAACAGTATTCTTAAACCATTCATTTTTATTTCTAGTCACCCTAATGGGTCATCATCGTTGCTAGGTGAGTCTCGAATTTTGGCGTTGAGTCGAGTGGTCGAGCGAACAGCGAGTGTTTCACGTCCTTGGTCAAGGAACAACTGCAACGTCTCCATCTGTAAACGTTCTTTATAAGGTTAAATGTTTCCCATTAAAAAACCCTGCGAGACACCCTTCGATACCTTTCTTCACAAACAGCGAAAATGAAAAGCCTTGCACCGAAAGTGCAATGGGTCTGCCAAACATCCTGTCCACGCTCTGCTAACGAGACTACAGATGTTAGGAGAGTTTTCCTTTAGTGGAACGATGAAGTTTCTCCTTCCACAACAAATGAATCTTGAATCTCAGAATAGTCGGAACTGTTGAGTTCCAAATTCGAGAAATAAACTTTCAATTCGTCACGGCATTAATGAACATATTGTTCAACTCTTATGAACTGTCCTTGATGAAGTGACATAAAGATAAACTATCTTTGTGAATCACATAATGATCGTCTGACTATATAAACGATTGAAAAGCGGCTGTGAGGATGTGAAGTCGCCAAAGCATTAGCCACTAAGCCAAAATACGTGTCAACAGCCTCTCGTCACTTCAACAAGGATGGTCCGTACGAAGAAGAAACTTGTTCATTGACGTCGCAATCAATTGAGAATCGACCTTTCGAATTATTGTGACATATAGCAGCTAGAGATTTCCGGCTTAACCCTCAGATTGGTGTGGTAACCCGCTCACGACCTTGGAAATATGGACAGATGACGCTAACGTGTGGAGATGTGAACTCCCGTCAGTAACCGTTACTCCATGTTCTGATATGGCTCACATTGATTGCTTTCGATTGGTACGAACCATGCTTTCTTTTCATAATCTGAAATATAGTACCGTATTCACCTACTTTATAACATCCCATGTTAAGGACGATTTGGGCGGTGATCTATATCTGATGATTTTCCCGGATTCACCGAACAATATTGGCATAGATCCGGATTACCTCGCTAAAGGGAGAGTCGACAAGTTATCCACTATCGTAAGTATCCTGTACAGACTATAACCTAACTGGTAATGAAAAACAACACGATTTGTGCCGGTCAGTAAGTAAGAACACTTGTGGGATCGATGACATCGCTAAGACCTTCATAAGGTCCTAGATCTACTGTACTTCAATGCATTTTAGTGTGAATATGAATACGAATGTGGATATATCTAAGCATTTCAATAGCGGAATAGGAACAACAACATCTCGGATTCGTTATAAAATCTTTTAAATACCGTAATAAAAGCTCGAACGACAATACAACGATTCACAATTGAACCTTTGCCTAAAATGCTCCTTTAATTCAATACATCCACTATTCAGTGTCGATCAATGAATTGTTCTTATTTCTAGATTCTCTGCAAGGACGGGAAATGGACACTTCCAGATAGTGACTTACATATGACCCACGTCCTTTGCGACCAATACATCATTGACAAGAAGAAAGCACTCGAATCGCCTCATAGACCGCTGTCACAATTTGAGGAAACAACACTGACTTCACAATTGATCATACCACGAGACTATGATGGAGTGGCTACAGAAATCAATGAAGAAACGATATTCAATGTGACGGAAGGTGACGTAACTGAGCACGTGGAAACAACCGGTAGTCGTGACTCTATCTACAACTCTACGTCAGTAGCGACTGATTCTATCAAACCGTCAGGAAGAACAGAGACGATCACTTCAACAGCAGATCCGCAGACGTTCACCCATGCATTAATAATGTCATCAAGTACACCACAACTCAAAACGGCAAGTACAACAACAAGTATGGAAACACTGGGCAATCCCCAACTTACCAGAAATAGTGGGCACTTTGCAAACGTACAGAAAGAAAATTATGCCCAAACCTTCCCCACGGAAACTTCTATTGAGATTACGAGCACATCAACGGTTTCAGCCCCACCGACAAACTTAGTCACAATTTACGTCTCCACGCAAGAATCTCAATTTGTTCCGGAGAAAACTCCTTCAGTGGATTCATTGGGGAATTTTTCACATATTCTTGCTGTTTCAACCAATCGGCCGTTACCAAAAGTTCTGGTCAACACAGAAAAGTTGCCTAGAAATGAAAACTTTGGTATTTCTACACCTAGTAGCCCATACGAAGATGTAGTGTGGTCTCCTTTGCTTCAATCGCAAGAAAATCGCTCATATAAACCACTTAAAATGATCGTAAAATCAATGAAGCAAAGAGCAGTCAACAGAAAGCTAAGAAACTTCTCACATTCCAATAAGACTGGTGCTGCAACAGCTCGCCTTTCAGTTATTCAGAACAAACGGCAAAGGAAATCACGGGTACGAATGAGGATGCAAGGAACAAAAAGACCACAAGCGAACCGGATGAGAAATCAGCACCGAAAAGTAGGCGAAAAGACGAGAACAGAAAGAAAGAGTGGATCCTACCAGAAAAGGAGCAGTTTCCAACGTCAAATTGGAAGACTAATGTGAATAATTTCAGATGTCCAAAACAATGTTCTTGGTAGCACAGTACAAAATTACACATAAGAATGGTTGACGAAATATTGAAAAAATCAAAGTTACAATAAACAACAGAAACTGGTTCCATGAGCGAGATTTGAACATCAAGATGCCCAATGAGTATAAACACATGAAAGTATTAAATCATTCAATAACAGAAAACGTTCCCTAGCATAGCTGGAAAAGGAAATGATTTAAACAGAACTACGTAACACGGGTTTGACTACCAATATGGAACAAAGGGAAAGAAAAAATGTAACTGTGATAATGATAAATAATGTAGTTCTTAGTTTTACCTTATAGAGCGACAAAACTATCAATGTTCTTATTGTTGTTGTTGTCGTTGTTCAATGGCTGACGTCTCGGCGACTTCGCCTTTCCCAGAGTCGTGTCGTTGGACCACCCGTGTGTTGTTCACCAGGAATGATCGTCAACATTGAGCCATTGAACAACGATAACAACAAGAACATCTATACCAACCTCGCGTCAACTAAAAAAGGGAAGCTTTGACAACTGTATTAGTTCAAATATAAGATCATCTCCTGATCCTGTTCAGAAAAGCAAAGAAACTAGTTTCATTTGTAACAAGCTAATAACGGCAATCACGGATTTTAGAACAAGAACTGCAACTGTCACAAAAATAAACGTTTACTAGAGATATGGGGGAAATACTATAGTATAGCAGACTCAACAAAACAGACAACAACAACTTAAACCAAAATAAGGAACAAAAATTGAGGCTGAACAGCATAACCACCGACTAAGAATACATCGGGTGAAGATTAAAAACAGGTTTGCACCGCACTTATCACTAGTAATCAACGCTCCTACCAAGCTACTCTTCATCCATTTCCTCTACTTCATCTGTAATGTCATCACCCGTCGACGACCACCATGCAACACAACCCAATCCTGTTTCGACCATCGTACCAATAATTTCGTATGATTTTTCAGTTTGGGCTTCCTCTGGTGTGAGGTTTGGCTTAACATCTCTAGAATAAATTGATGAAATCGAAAGTAAGGAAATGAATAATTGCGTTTAATAATACGAACACAAATACACTTGATTCTTAGATGTTTTCCAAAACTACAAAAAACTATTAGATAGCTCACTTAAATATGTTTTGCACCACGCGAAACCGAACTATCTTTCCAGGATCCATATATAGTTTAGCGGGTGGCTCACCATTTTCTGATGGATACTCCCAGTACCAAACCTGAACGACTAAGGTTATTAAGAATCACTAATCATTTTTACAGCAACTAACGAAACTTGAAGATATCGTAAACTAAAGACTTAAAAATAATCACTCAAAACCAGCCTAGTGGCAGGAAAATGTAAGTAGAAGGAAAAAAGGAAACAGGAACTCCCACGACCGACTTTCTATTAACCTCGGCATTGATCAAGTAATTCTTCGTATTTTTGTTGAGCAAACGCGAGGTGTTATTGTTCATAATTCATGAATAAGCTGACGTTTCGGCGGATTTCGCCTTCCTCAGAGCCTGGAAAGGTCAAGTTGACAGCAATCTATTCGGCCAAACACCTTCATAAACAAACAGAGAAAACGCTAAACCAAGATTTCAGTCACATTGAACACAGCATTGCACACTCACCGCTTTCTATGAGGTTTCCACTAAGTATGTCGCGTAGAGACCAACCGCACAGAAATCACATGGAAGTATAATGTGCCCCTCCCATCAGAATAACAGTCTTATATACTGCCCTATATCACGCGTGATAATGAGGCATTCTTCCATGCGGTTCATTTTCGGATTTCTGGAATTAATCCAGAATGCCTCGAGAGTTTTTCGCGCCTGTGTTCTTGATTCGCGTGCGAGGATCGTGACACATACTTCAATGTCGTCCCTTTTATGTCTCTGAGTCCTATGCGTGCCTAGCGGTGTATTTGGTCTATGTTTGCCGTCTAGGTGTTCTTTTATGCGGACACAGAGGGGTCTACCCGTTTCGCTAATGTATTCGTCACCGCACGTCTTACAGGAGATCAGATAAACTATACCCGAGCTCATACAATCACCGTCTCTACCACTGGGGCAAATTATGCAATAATTTTGCAACAATTTTGACTTTGAAGTATGTGTCACGATCCTCGCACGAGAATCAAGAACACAGGCGTGAAAAACTCTCGAGGCATTCTGGATTAATTCCAGAAATCCGAAAATGAACCGCAGGGAAGAGTGCCTCATTATCACGCGTGATATAGAGCAGTACATAAGACTGCTATTCTGATGGGAGGGGCACATTATACTTCCATGTGATTTCTGTGCGGTTGATCTCTACGTGACATACTTAGTGGAAACCTCATAGAAAGCGGTGAGTGTGCAATGCTGTGTTCAATGTGACTGAAATCTTGGTTTAGCGTTTTCTCTGTTTGGTTATGAAGGTGTTTGGCCGAGTAGATTGCTGTCAACTTGACCTTTCCAGGCTCTGAGGAAGGCGAAATCCGCCGAAACGTCAGCTTATTCGTGAATAAAGAACAATAACACCTCGCGTTTGCTCAACAAAAATACGAAGAAAGGGAACAGGGTTTTACGACTTTTGCCTACAATTAGTCGATTGCGCTTTTCATCTAACAATCTATGCACAAATCTATCTAAAGTTCCACATTAAAGCCTTAGTTCTCCCACTACAACACCATTACAACTTTCAACCTCTACAGCACTCTTTATCCAAAAAAAAAACCGAAGACTGTAGTAATTTCGTAAGCCCGCATCGAGTTCTTTTGCTTATGTCTAGTGCACTTTAACAGCACTTCAGTGCTATGCTAACTTAGGTTGAAAAAAAAAAACTTTTAAACGTATATTGTCAAAGCCTCAACAGTACACCTGATCTTTGGAACACATGAGAGCCGATTTGTTCAGTGACCAGAAACGCGCCGGCTTGGTCGAGATCTATTCAAAACTTTTAAAGAGAAATTTGATTTGCTCCGCCTCATCGTGACTGGGAGGTGTTCCTGGATGACAGGCTGCGATATACAGTGGAGGGATTCATCTCCCGGCAGGGTCCCCATGCGAAGGAGTGCGGTGTTTCCATCAGGAAACCTAGCTAAGAGTAAACCAATACCAGGATTCACCACCGTCCTGGTATCAAAGTCGCATGGTGGCAAATCTCCCTCTGATACACGAGGACTGCGAGTGCTTGTGGTGGTGAAGCCTGGGGCAGCCTTTGACTAGTATGATCTCGGGATTCCAGGGAATCACAATGGCTTCACCAGCAAATCTCCGAAAAATGGATGCTATGTTAGGGCCGCACAATCAGTGAGGACGGATAATTCAAGTATCAAGCAAGTAATTTGTCTATGCGAACTGGAAGAAAAAAACAAGGTCAGGTCATACATATGTCTTCGCACCTGTTCGCTTTGTTCAAAAACATGCGGTTCTGGTAGTCGATCAGCAGGTATAGTAATATCCTCAAAGAAATCCACTGAAAGTTTCAAACCCTGACTGCTAGAGAAGATGACACGTGCCTCAATCACCTCGTCAATATGAGGTCGGAAAACCACTAAGCGGAACTGAAAGTAAGCTACTTTTGTTCCAGTTATTACGGCCAAAGCCTTGAAGCTTAAGATTTTCAAAAATGGAGTTTTCGGAAAGTAAATATTTAAGGAAGAACATGTACTGACTTTAACTCGAGTGTGGCCACTTCCTTCGCCAGGGAGAATATATATCACACCTACTTCCAAGAGATCATAAGCACATATACATAAACCCAATTCTGGCACGATTCTATTCGAAAGTCGTTGATTAATTCGACGGATTAACACCTGCATACATGTCAAAACACTATGAGCTTGCAGACTATGAGCATTATGAAACAGGGATTTGTAGCACAAAACCTGAAAGATAAGGTCCTCTACTCACCGATTCTACATCTTCTCCAAGCTCATGAGGTTTTATTACCACCGTATCTTCAAGTAATGCCAATACGAACATTCTAGAACGTTGGTACGTAAATATGACGGCGTTAAGTGATCAAAATGACTAAACCAATATATTTGGACATCGAACAAATTTATGGTGGATAAAAGCACGAGCACAACAGTTGAAACAGTTTATTTAACAACCGAGCATTGCAACAAAGTCAAAATATACAAAAGCTAACTGGAATTAAACGAAGTAAGAAAGTTCGTTGATAACAGATGGTTGACAGTCTGAGAAACGAAAATTGAGTATCAAGTAATCTTAAACATAAAACATAAAACCAGCTGAGATCAATAGGAAACATCTGGTGAAATAGAAAAGAACTATACCACGATCCATAAGAAATCCTATACGCTTACACAACTAAGTATTTTTGATAGATCTTCCGAGCTAAATAGTCATTGCCACTTGTACGATAGATAAGCGCTAGATTATGAGCAGCGAAACGTCTCACGTCGTACCTTAGAATAACGTCTTTGGAAGTAAAGAACATTAACATCATTAAGATATAACCGTAAGAAAATATGCTAATATAACCGCAAGAAATATGTTTCCATCACAAGAATTGACGAAGTACAAAAATACCCACATTCCATCTGGCCTTACGGCCTCATTTCCTTCGTCATCAACGTAATACACAACAGGTGGTGGCTCGGAAAGAACCTAGAACCTGTTTATGTCGAGAAATAAAAAAGAACAAAAACAACACAACGCCACAAAAGACAGATTAATCATCAGAAATCCACACCTGCACCTTGCAGAAGCCATTGCGAAAGTAGTATATATATATATATATATATACCGCCTCAACGTGGCTGGGAAGTATTTCTGGGTGTCGAACTGCAATGTACTGCGGTGGAATTCGTCCAACCGGCAGGGTCTGCCAAGCTGAGAAGGAGTCCGGTGTTTCCATCAGGACGCCTAGCTAAGAGCAAACCAAGACCAGGATCGAGCACCGTCCTTGTGTCAAAGTCGCATGGTGGCAAATCTCGCTGTTTCCACAGGGGCTGCGACTGGCCGTGGTGGTGAAGACCTGGGGCAGACTTTGGCCAAGCTAACATCGGGATTCCAGGGAACAACGATGGCCTAACCAGCAAGTCTCCGAAAAATGGTGAATATGCTGGGGCCCGCACAACCAGTGAAGATTGGCCGTTCAAGTGTCAATAAGTATATATATATATATATATATATATATATATATATGAATTCATATACATAATGATATTCTTACGATTTACCTTCTCATAAAAATGTATTGCCAATGGTGTGATGGACATTTGATGGAACATCCGTCCGATATTGTAATGACTCTCTTGGCGGCATGCCCGATTTTTATCGTATTTCTTCATGAATGCAACGCCCTATGAAATCAGGTTAAGTAATAAAAGTAAACATATAATAATTTCGTTTCTCACCCTGACTCCAATCATATGCCTGCTGCTTAGGTCTTTCTTGCACGCCATGTGAGTGAATGTTAAAGCCAGCAGTAGACAAATCAAGGGATTCTTCTTGTTTTCATTCCAGACACGGAGATATTCACCTGAAATTTATTCTAGATATCCCAGAACCAAAAGTGGTAGATTACATAACTTACCTAACGCATGTCGGTACGTTCCTGTAATAAGGGAGTTGTTGCCCGATATGGCTTGAAGAGCATGGTTTCCAGGCGACTACAGAAAGTAAAATAATGTATTACAAATAAAGAAGCCTACAACAACTGGGACTATATGGTACTGAAGAACACTCCATACGACTTATTGCCTCTTATTATATACTTACTTTAATCTTCCTCTGTAATTGGGTTCAACCATCGGCAAGTTACGCAATATTCGTATTTTATGAAAACAGTTTCAACACATTCGTGACCACATGCATTGTATTTCATGCACATCTCTTCCGAGGCTCGTTTTGTCCCAAAGAGCCGTCTTATCACTTTTCCTAAACTCCATCGATCCATGGAAAGAGCTTCTCTACACTCAGTAATTTACACAGCCATTTTTGCTGACGAGTTCAATTTGCGTTAACAGCTCACTTTTGTTAAATAGAGAATGCAGTATAACGAACGTGGTCACTGAAGAGCCGCAGAAATGCCTCCACTTGAACATTGACATTCTACGCTTAGGGACAGCTTTTGTCCACGATATTACTATGAATCAGACTCCTTTCAAATGGCTCGGTGTTATCTTAGTATGCACCCACCAATGGGATTCGACACTGTTTGTGTCATAAACCAGTTATCATGTGTTACTTACCTCAAGATATTTTACACTTATTTTTTACTGATTTTGTAACCAACAATTTACGGTTCATACATACAACATATACACATATATATATATACATGTTACATGTATATATATATATATATATGTATATACATACATACATATATGTCATACACATAATTAACATGGTTTATATACTACTCGCAATTCTTACGTACAACAAACTATCTTGCCTTTAATCACATACGGTTTCGATAAGTTAATGGAAGGCAAGTATTTAATTGATGGCACAGTAATATCTTTCCTTTCAACATTCCACTCCTGCACCATAGCACTGTTCCTACCTTTTTGGGCTACCAAGTAGTCTCTATTCAGTCTCGAGTGGATGACTCGCTTGGCAAGTCTTTTTCTGTGTTTATTACAGCTGCTCATAAGGATGGATCTATTTCAGCAATAGATCCGCAGCCAAACGAAGACTCGCGTGCTAACTGATGGTGTGGAGATGCCTTCCTTCATGTAGTAAGTCGCACATGAGCTCTATCACCACATAGTTCCCACGTCTGCGTCGGATCACTACCAGGGTATACCAAAATTCTGCAGGCTTTAGTCATTCTCGCTCGTAATTTGAATAAATTGAGTCCGTATCCGTGCCTTTTATTAGGGGTATACTGGCAGAAGGCGACTCTACCTTTAAAGGATACAATGCCATCAATGCGCATTTGCTTTTCAGATCTGTGTATTGTGCTGAAGCTACTGCTGATAAGGTAGACTAGTGACCTAGTCATACGCGACTTGTTTTATACGTCACATGTTCCATCGTCGGCAAAGTGGAGGTTAGCTGATAGATATTCAAATCTGTCTTTTGTCATACAAGGGACTTCGATAAGACGAGCTTCCAACTCCGATAATCCCTCAAATGTGGTATTTGAACAATGTCCACTTCCGCTCTCACAGAGAAGGTTTCACGATCTTCTCTTCACCTACAACTTCTCTTTCACCTTCGATCAGATGTCCACTGAAATCGAAGTTGAAGTCGTTGCCAGGCAGTATGATTCAAGGCTATGATATGCAATAATTATTAATAAGAAAAATCAAAACGGTAAAAAAAAGATTAATTGCAGACAGTAAAGTCAACGGGATGAGTGAAAAAGAGCGAGAGGGAACGATATCTAAAGACAGCTACACATTTTAATGAACATATCTCAACTAATAGTGGATTTTACTATCAAAACTAACAGAATCAAGATAGTAAAACGCAGCAAAGAGTAGCATATATTTCCAAAGCCTCCTTCATAAATCCGTGATGTTCTCGACCTCAAGCACCCTCAGCTACCAAGAATTTATCGTTTATTGTCGAAAAAAGAACCAGGGTTATCGTGGTTAAACCGCTGACTACTTGCACTGATTTGCATGCGCGGTGAAACCAACGGTGGTCACGAATGTGTTAAACGTCCAATTGCTACGTACGTATGAGAGGATAAAACTCTCGGGATTGCTCAAACCCTGAGGAATGCGCCATGCGTTTGACTTCACTAAGCATTGTTGGAGGTGATTGAATGCATATCTGGCCTTTACAATGACTCGCAGTGGCCTAGCGATGTATCCAGCCAATGCTACTATCCTTCCAGATAAGTCTGGTAGCAGTTTGTCGAGCCCGGAGGGTCGGAGTACTTGGTGGGCCTGTGGCACGGGGATCGACCCCATGTATATGGGGTTGCATGGCGCCTCCGACCACTGCGCTACACGTTCCCTAACGTACGTATAACGATGTAAAAGATGGTCAATAATGATATGAAATGTATAGCGCTCAAGATCACGGCTTTGGAACTATCGTACCTTGGCAAGCGATCGCATTATATATCGGTGATACGACACATTCTGCGAATGAACAAATATGTAATTCATAGCATTGAATATTCGTTTGTACAATACTTCACGACTATTAGGCAGCGTCAATTCAAGAGCAGTCTGAAAGCAATCGTTTGGAAAATCTTGAAAATGTCGTATATACCTGAAAAAAAAATTCTTAAGAGAAGACAATTATGCTGGTTTTATTATATTACCACATGATAAACCCGTTAAGTGAAGTACATAGCAGGACTGAGTTTTATGGTAATGTAGTCCTTTTTTATTTACTGCCATTTCTTTCCTCATAGCAGGGCACCCCTGGGAAAGGGCAACAGTGGGTCCTATCCTCACCGCAGACACATGTGGTCCAAAGTTTTGCAAATATCTCAGCATCATTGTGTTTAGTGGTAGTTCACCACTATTTCTTTTTCAGTCGGAAAAAGCCAGTGAGCACACATTCCAATTAGCTCCGATTTTGATCAAATAGTTTGCTTTACACGCTTACTGAATATTGAAAAACAACAGATGAAGTAAGGGCATTTTCAGTCTTAAAATTCGCATAAGATCATGTAACAAGAAGTTAAACAAATAAATTGTCTTCGTAACTGTGAGACTGAGAGGAATTTTATGCAATAACTAGTAAAAGCCATACATTTGTCAGCATGTGATACCATCGAATGTACTCAAAAGCCACGGGCCAACAATGAGCTTTGATCGCACAGAAGTACAGCATATTTTGGAAAGTTGATGATCTGAGTACATGAACAACGTAAAATAATTCTGCAAGCAAAAACAAATCTGAGGTCCATAGAGACTCAGAAAAAAACGACTTCGGTCAAAGTGTAATAAAAACTAGGAAAAGAAAAGTAAAAAAGGACAAAGAATCAAAAAGAGTGATAACTGACTTGTCCGACTTAGTTATTCGAGGTTGTAAAAATGCATAACAGCAAACAATTAGCATATCCTAAATGAGAAGTTTTAGAAACTACAAACGAAAGTGGAAGATTTATGCACGGACTTGAAAACGTTGCCGAGCCAGAAGGCATTCGATTAGTTTCAAACAGTAGTCGTGAAGCTAAAAAACATGTTTTCAAATATATACACACACTACTGCCTAGAGCAAAATAACAGTTCGCTAATGATTTCGAAGGAAGCAGGTAGAACGTTATAACCTGGGCTAGATCTATTTCATCAACACTGCGACGTTCATTGAAAGCTGTAGATCCCAGTCGACGGACAAACTTTTCCCAGTTAGTGTTGGTAATCGCGTTCATTGCAGCTACTCGTAAAGTGTTACTGAGGTAAAATCCTTAATAAACATAAATAAATAGAAAGGCATTCATTTTTATTCAGCTGAATGATTCTTCGTATTTTTGTTGAGCAAACGCGAGGTGTTATTATTCTTTATTCACGAATGAGCTGACGTTTCGGCGGATTTCGCCTTCCTCAGAGCCTGGAAAGGTCAAGTTGACAGCAATCTACTTGGCCAGACGCCTCCATAACCAAACAAAGAAACTCTAAACCAAGATTTCAATCACATTGAACACAGCTTTGCACACTCACCGCTTTCTATGAGGTCTCCACTAAGTATGTAACGTAGAGACCAACCGCACAGAAATCACATGGAAGTATAATGTGCCCCACTCATCAGAATAGCAGACTTATATACTGCCCTACATCACGCGTGATAATGAGGCATTCTTCCATGCGGTTCATTTTCGGATTTCTGGAATTAATCCAGAGTGCCTCCAGAATCCAGAAAAAACTCTCGAGGCACTCTGGGTTACTACCCAATACACCAGATCCCAGCTTGTCCTTTTCTGATTAATTTCCTCGTTTGCATCTTTCACGAAGATATTCGCATTTGCGGATTCGTCTGCTGGTTAAGGGCTTCTGGTCTTCCTCATCAATATCAGTGAATGCTGGTCGACCAGGTTGTCCCTGGATTCCTACGATGTCGAGTGAGGGAATTGGGCGTTAGATTCTCACCATAGCTAGTTACTAGCCTTGTGCATCCAATGGAGGTTCTCACAAGAGGATGGCTCCCACCTCCCATTTTAGAAAGGACAGCCCGTATTGTTGGGTCAGGACATGTCATGCCCGTATTGAACAGTACCTGTACCACTGCGCTACGCAAGCCTCGATTATACAATTAAATCCTTAGTGAATGTCAGATGTAGTTGAACGATGTGGCCAAGAAGCATACCTGTTTTCGAACTACGACGTCTCCCCACATTCTCCTGGTTGCGATGTACTTCATAAAAGTGTGGTGTAAGAAGCATACGACAGCAACGAATGAACTGCTCGGTTTTCTCAGATTCGAATAGCACATCAGCTTGTTGAATAAGTAGTCGCTCATCCTACACAAAGAATTTCCAAACTTGTAAAAAAAATGTTGTGAAAAATACCTATTGGATCATCTGGCTATCTTATTAAATAATTGTGCCTATGATTTATTATAATAATGCGGAGTAGTACAACACTTCGTCGGCCGCAATAGATTATTCCACTATTGAAATCAGTTCATGATTGGATGGACAGCTAGAAGCTTTTCTGAAGTGACCTGCGTGTCTGCTTTTTTTTAGCGCAGAAATATGTAATAATTTTAGTAACATTAATATCTACCATTAGTTCTTCAAAACCACACAGTAGAGTATTTAACGACTTCCAAAAATATTTAACATTTGAAACGACGTCCAAAGCTGCAGGTAGCTCTAAGAAATACTAATTGTGGAGAATGAAGGTTCTAGAGATTGTAGACAGTGGTAAAAATGTGTAAGCTTCTAAAGCTTGAGCATTACAGTGGTTATAAACTGTAGGCAAAAAGTTTTAGTTGTAGAGTTTGTAAAAATTGCATATAGTATGTAAAAAGTGCAAACCATAAAAATTGTAAATTTCAAAATAAATCTATCCGACCAATAACAGTAGGTGAATGGTGGCAGAATAAAAGTTGGAAAGAAAACTATACGTAAACACATTGAGAAAACGCCTAGCCCTTTCAAAGAAGACAGTTTTCGTCATGGTGAGTACACAGCTATACTGTAATCACACCTGCACAAGTTTTCATCGATTTACAGAGTTATCACAGAAAAAATATCTCCATTTTGAGACTAACTGTCCCAGTGATAGCTTCTTAGTATTCGTACAAAAACAATCTCTTGTCGCAGGACTTCATACAATGTGGGACAAAGCATAACTTAATGGTGACCTCACAAAGAGTTTAAGTCGGCCTGATTAAAAATAAACATAATAAAACGACAAAGCTTTCGGGTCGACCAATCCCTGAGAGATGTGTCGTGCATTCGACATCATTAAGTACCGTTGGAGATGACTGAATACATATCTGGCCTTTACAACGACTCGCGGTGGCCTACCGATGCATCGAACCAGTGCTGCTATCCTCCCAGACAAGTCTGATAGCAATTATCCGACAATGGAGAGATAGAAGGCTTGGTGACCCGTTGGTGTGGGGATCGATCCCACGCGTGTATTGCAGGGCACCTCCCACCACTGCGCCACACAGGCCTGATAAAAAAAACCGCAACCGTAAATAATGGACAACACTGGTTTTTTTAGACTAAGCGAAAGATTTTGGTTTGAAAGGTTTGAGTAAAAGTTGAGAACATGATGTCACGAAAGAATTTCGAACAGAGCCTTTAGCAGGAATGCGCAGTCGAGATTTTCAGCCTAAATTTTGGTAACGAATTCTATTTTTGTGATCTAGAAGAATACAAATCGATAGCATGACATAAATAGGGCGTTAATGTAATAATAAGAAAACATAAGATATGGAAGAAAAGAACGGTGGAATCGACTCCTTCAGGAGGCAAACATCCCCTAGGAGAATCAGCTAAACTAGGGTGGGCCTGTTCGTAACTTACGTCAACCGCTTGTATTATGCATATGGAAGTAGTTCTTACGACCCATGGAATATACATGACGAAATTCACTGCACTGAAAGCAAACCACTACAGAAAACGACTGCGAGGGAAAGAAACGAATGGAAGATTTGGTGCGCCCAAATAGTTCATACGGGCCATCTGAGTAGGTACTAAGCGTAATGAATAGCTTTTCAAGAGCCACGCTTGACATAATGTGTATCGAACAAGCTACCAAGTAAGTACAAAAATGGTGGCAAAAAGCTCTGTGTAGCAAAACAAATAATTGAAATGCGTACGAAATAATGCAACTGCCCATGCATGGATGGTATTCAATGGAACTCGGACGCTATATGTCAAATGAGACGAGCAAGTACGTACGACGCTTTACATGTTATTTAGAGCTCAGAAATGCTTATGCCAAGGCTGTTCTACCGGGAAAAGTATATCAATAAAGCCTTATATACGAACGTAAACAATCGGAAGAAAAAGGAGTTAATACACATTCACAATGGCCGACTCAACCAAAAATGCACCCCATAACTAGTGAAAGTCGCCGAGTTTTCGGTTTGCCGGAAAGGTAAATAATATTAAGCAACAATACCAAATATGAAATACGAAAAATCGAACCAAAAAATGAAAACACGAGATTTCAATAATATGTTAAGAAATAACCACTAACTGGTAGGTGAGTACAGGTATCGAGATCATGATCTTGCAGTGTCTCTAACGCTCGGTCTGACAGCCCCATTTTCTGCTGCAGGCTGGAGAGATTAATGCGAGCGTCAACATGGCCTGGATTCACTTGAAGCACCTTTTCGAATGACTCCATAGCAGTAGACATATCTTTCAGTGCCTAAATAATGTAGAAGACCTAGCTACGAGTATCTGCACAAAAATCATAGTTTTTCAACAATAGTGTTTTTTCGAGCTTATCAAATACGGTGCACTTACTGCTGCTGTATTTCCATAAATAAACCAAGTTTCCGCATTATTAGAATAATTGCTCCATTCTTGCAGCTTCTCCAGGAACACCTTTAAAGTTTTCCTATGGTTGAAACGTTATATAAGATATCAAATTTTACTCATCCAACAATAAGTACGAAAAATAAAAAATAATGAGAGACAAAACTGCTGGCGCTGATCGATCCCTGAGGGATGCTCCATGCATTCAACTTCAACAAGCATCACTGGAGGTGATTGAATGCATACGTGGCCTTTACAATGACTCGCGGTGGTCTACCTATGTATCGAGCCACTGGTACTATCCTCTCAGACAAGTCCGGTACCAATTCTCCGACCCCGGAGAGATGGAAGGTTTGGTGGGCCTAGTGCGCAGGGATCCATCCCATGTATATTGCAAGACGCCTCCGAAAACTGCGCTACATGCGCACAACACGCGAGTGTCAAAAATACAAAAGTTGACGACAAATACTTTATCCGAAACTTTAGTACCTTTGTTGTTTTGAATGCATCACAATTGTAGAACGCTCGTGCGATTTCTAGCACATATGGTTCATCTCTGGTAGATGACAAGTCACGCTTCAGAAGAATCTCTTTAAGAGGCTGAAATGCAACGCATAACTGCAAGCGCATTTTCCGGAAGAAACACTTTACAAGAAGTAAGAAGAAAGAAAACCACAGGCTCCCCTACTACGAAGTGTTTTCGAAATTTTGCTGTCTAGGTACTGATAGGTAAATAACTCATGACTGCAACTACCTTTATATAACAAATCGTTGAATAAGTTGGTTCTTTAAAGCGTTTTACTGTTTCCACTATTTCAACTGGTAGACAGGTCGAGAAATAAAATCTACTAGGCAGTAATAGCACAAAATGTTTCATAGAGCATGAATTCCTTCATTCATAAGTCAACAGGAGGTTGATAAAAAAAACTTTTCGGCTAACGGCACTTTTTAGTCGTATTTCAAAATCGTTCTAATGTTGGCTAGTGATCCCGAGGCTAAAGAAAAATCGGTTTTTGGAAAATTGCTATGCTCTGTACTTCAAAGAACGTTGCTATTACCTTCGCTACTATTGTTTGACATAAAGATCAACAAATGACTTGACTTGATCAAACTTACTTTTGCTAAATCCCTTCTTCCCAAACCGATGAAACAAACAATCAGTCGACTAAGAGTTATAGTGCCAAACGACGGCTCTACATGAAACTCAACATCAGCATTCGGTGGAAATGGCTCAACGGTGTATGTTCCATGTGATAAAGATACCTAAATTAGAAAAAAAACAGAACTGGGATATTAACTTATGGGATAAAACGAAAGCATTAAAACTGGGTCATAAATCTCACAGTCATCGCCGGTTCGCCGGTAGATTTGTCCGTTGTTGAAATTCCATCGCATAACGCAAAAATAGATTTGGCGGCTTCTGTGAATTTATTTTTTGCTATCCACATACCTGAGAAAAACAATTTGCAGTTTACTTCCTCAACCTGTTTAAAAACAACTGAATAGAGACATGCACAGGCAGAAAGTAATTTGAATCAAACAAGGCAGGACATTTCATCCATATTCTCTAACGATATATCTTATCTCCTTTTTGCTGAGAGAAAGGCGAAACGAAAGACTAGCATGGTGTGGTGATGAACGCGTTAGCCCTCGGAAAGGATAATAGTGTGTTCCGTCGCCACCGCAGACACCGATGATCCAGAGTTTTGTACATATCTCAGCATCACTATAGTTACATCTTATTTCCACAATTACTAACCTATCAGCGTCTCATGCTGGTTATCCGCTGATCGGCCAAATTCCTTGCTGCGTAAAACGAAAGCTTCCAGCGCAAGAATGGCACGATCCTCATCGTTTATGGTAATGTAATACTGTGCAACCTGAAACGTTAATTAACTATTTGCACACTGATGGGAATTTGTTGAATTCTCTTGCCACATCGCTTTTGAACAATCAACTGGCCCACAAATTATGCAACTAGAGTTCACTACGACCGCGCAAACTCTCGTGTACGCAACTGTTTTAATCAATTCATGGAACCATTCAAAATCCACGCCGGCTTGTGAAGGATTGATCATCTGAGCAGCTTGTAAACGAGTACGCATTGCCAAAGGACGAATTCCTAAACGTGCAAAATTTCGCAAGTGCAGAAGTACAAGAAAAAACTTAAAAACAAAGGCAAATGGGAGCCTGAAAATACCAAGTATATCTAGCATTTCGATACGATTCTCGTAATACTTCCAATTTTTCACGTCTAATCGAATAGCTGAAATAAAGAGCATTATAATGGAAATGAAAACATCTACTAGGACATTTCTAAATAGTAACTAATAAAAGGGATTAATTATTAATAAGGCAAGGCGTGTTCCAGAACCACGATATTAAAATGTGCACATACCTCTGCCGTAGCACGCAGCCGCTTCTTCGATAAGTTCAAGCTTCTTAGATTCATCACCCCAGTGGGCCCAATCCTCAGCTGGGGTGCGCGGATCCAAATGAGCCGCTAGAAGACCATATCTGAAAAGGAAAACAAACCAGTCTCGACTGGTAATCAAATAACTTTAAATACAATGTCATATACAGAAGCTTAGAGCGTCATATTTCGATGTGCCGTTGTAAAATACTAGTGAAGAAATTTACTGTAAACTCTTCTGAGAATCTCCTAACTCCTGGTAGATGTCAGAAACCTGGCGATAAGATGCAGCATTTCGAGGCTCCTGGCGAATGACCTAAGAGAACTGGATATTGTTGAAACTCCTGACTACATCAAAAATACCTTTCAAATCGAAATACAAAATTAAAATTATTAAACGTTCACAGTATTATGTGACCACGTGAACTAACTTCCAACAAGACGGCTAGAGCTTCTTGTGTGTTGCCTTTAGCATAAATGACATTAGCGTGACCCAGGAGCGCATCCATAGTCTTGCTCAGTTTTCGGGGAACTCTTTCTCTTTCCACCGTTGGTTCAAAGGCAGCGGATGTTCCTGCTGCTGATGGCTGATCAGGAGAGATAGCTGATGGATGAACGTCAGTCCGACATGTTCCCAGCTCATCGTCCACTATCTAAAGCCTTAACTTAAGGTGCAAAATAGAAAAATAATATTCTCGCATGATTTTCAACATGACATTCAGTTTTTCGTTCACATTCATACAATGCCTTCTCCATTAGACTTGCCTATTTCTGGTATTAAAGCTCATTCTACCACGTTTTTTTGAGATTACAAAAAAAGACAGCAATTTTTTAACCTAATACTTTTCAGATGAATAGAAATGCTAAAATATATAAAGTTGTTCTCTTACTGTCTAACTTCATTCTGACAAAACTTAGGATGTAGAGTTTTGAATGAGATAAAGAAAAAATCATGGGAAACTTACCTCTTGCATAAGATTTCTGACATGAATGGGAAGATCCGCTCTTCCACCACCTTCAGTTTTTACAGGAATTCCCTGAAGTTATTACTGTGATACACTCATCCTGAAACAACATTGAAAAGTTTACTTGCCGATGAAACTTCAGAGGTCGCATACTCGTAATCTTCTTCATCTTCCACAGATTCGCCTAGGTCAAAAACAAATAACATGACTAAAACAGACAAAAAAGGCAACCACGATATCAGCAAGACAAGAAAAAAAGAATATGCGGGGATTTTATTAATTTTTGGTACCTCCTCCATCAGCTGCCATTTCTTCCTCAAGAGTTTGCCCACCAGTAAGACGCATAAACTCATCATAATCGATTTCGTTTCGCATGAAACGACCGAGAGCACGGTCATAGTCGCTGTCATCTTCAGACACTTAAAAGCGAGGATTTAATGAGATATAACGCAGCTGGAAAACGAAGAAGTAAAAAATGCAGTATATTCCTACCTGGTAACACGTCAGAAATATCCACTCCTCCAATACTGCCATCATACTGAGGAGGATAGCCGCCTTCACCATCTTAAACGACATTACAAACAGACATGACTCTTGTTTTCATAAAAACGGCACTTCAACAAAGGTCGTTAGCATACTCTCGATAATGCAAGTTTTTCGATGACTACAGAACTTAAGGATTTCAAGTGTTGGAAAAAATCTGCAGAAGAAATTACTGTAAACCATAGAAAAAAATTGTTGTCGCTCTAAAGGCTATATATATACACATATGTTTATATATATACATATACCTATGTGTACATGTATATACATATATACATATAAACATGTTTATAAAAATAAAAATAAGACATATATGTTCAAAAAAAAGTAATTGAGTATCTTCAGTTAAAATTCCTACTATTTTTCATTAATCCTAAACTTACTACCATATTTGCTAAAATTAAATAGATGCATACATAGTTCATACATGTATAATTATTTACATGTACATATTCGTACACATTTACAATACATACATGTAATTCTAAAAATTTTTTCAGGTATTTCAACACATATAGTAACATTTATACCCAAACTTTAACATAACTAAATATATATATATATACATATATATGTACACATTTACAAGTACATGTGTATACAGGTAATACAGGTAATACAGTGGTACCGATTCCGATCATCACGAACACGATGCCGGTCCGATCGCGCTGCTCCGGGATTAGCGATCTCTTCCTTTGACGGTCGAGAAATTGTTGCCAGACTTGTCTGGAAAAGTTCACTCTCTGCAATCTAAGTGAGAAAGCTCTAGCCCGGCTATCTCAGGAGTCCAGAGAGAATCGACTCGACCAGCATATAAGAACATTTATGGTAAAAGAAAAATCCTCAAGCAACAACCGAAGTCACACATAAACAGTTGGAAGACCTTCGCAGATGATAGATGCCAAACAACGAATGAAATGCGAGAAGTGCTGGGATCAGCACAGTACACCTGGAAGACTGTTCACGTAAAATTCACGTAAAAACAACGTTTTGAATTATATGGCTTATTAGAAAATCAAGGACGCGTGTGGCTCAATGGTCTGAGGCGCCCTCCAGTACACATGGGATCGATTCCGGCGGCCTCAAGAGGCCCGAGCCCTCCATGCCATCGAGGTCGGCAAATTGGTATTAGATTTGTCTATGAGAATAGCAACACTGACTTGATACAACAGTAGACCACCGCGATTCACTGTAAAGGTCAGATATGCATTCAATCCACCTCCAACGATGCCTACTAAAGTCGAATGCATAGCGCATCCCTCAGGGGTTGATCAACGCTGAAAGCTTTATCAACCTTTTTGTTTACTAATACGAAATCAGGAAATACTACTTTGCAAAATTTCAGTACGAGCGTAGCCATCCATCGCATCCACAACGCTTTCGGGGACAAAGCGCGTTGGACGTCGAATTCAGCCAAATTTTTTCACCATTTCGTTCGTTTTTGTACGATTTCGATAAGTAAAAACTGAACGGAAACAATTATGGTATCCAAAAACTAAAGTTACATGATGTTACCGTAACTGCGTCTTGTTGACGACGATTTATATATTCTGAAACAAGTCTTTGAACCAACACACAGTATACGAAGTGAGATGGTTTCAAGAAAATTTAAGAGGCAAGAAGGACGATATGGATCGATTTCGAATCAAATATAGTCAAAAGCAAATGTACCTATCAGATTTAGGCTGAAATATCTTATTGCATAGCGAACTTTTTTAACTTTTTGGAAAGGAAATTTTCCGTTCTGCACCTAAGTCAAAGAATCCATACAATTCCAATTTTTTTGAGCGTTTCAATTCTAAACTAATTCGAAATTAAAAGCATCTAGAACGATAGATACTTTTATATCGATACAGTAAACTGCCCTCTGTAAAACAAGGGATATGGGAAAATGAGGCTACATATGAACAAAACTCGAAGCGCCAAGTTGGCTACGAGACTGATGTTACACTTTCCGGGTCCTGATGTGCATTACACCAACCGAGGCTACTATTTTGGCTTTCTCCCAGCCAACTTCTTACTCTGACGGTGCATCAGCAATCGCCCGTCATTTTTATACATGTCAGGTACCAAAATTAGAAAGTATTTAAAGTATCAAAAAACCTGTGAAACGCGATGGAAGTTATGACCCGTACCATACGGCAACCAAAAAATACGTGTAGTCGTCTATGTTGTACTTACAAGGTTTTCTGTGAGCACAGTTATGTTAACTTAAAGTTTGGAACCCAACATTTCTGGTCAAAAACGTAAATGAATAATTTCATAGTGTTACAAATGAATTAGTATCCTACATATAATGTAACGTGAACTGCAAAAGTACTTAATCCTACAAGACGATTAGAAAGCTTAGCATACCATTTGAAGTTATCTTAGCAGGTTTCATTGACGTCAGTTGGGCCAGCTCCGGGATTGCTTCTGTGCGATCAGTCTCCATGTCTTGAACGTACGATTTGAATGTTGCTAGCAAAATGTTTAGTTTACTAACTGAAATAATAATGAGAAAAATTTTATCAAAGCATTTGAACTTGTGGACGATGTAAATTTCTAAAACATGTACTTGGTATCGTTTATGATGAATACGGATAACAACATAACAACGTGTGAACAAAGTAAACAACTGTAACTGTTGTTCTAACACAAAGGAGAAACAGTCTAGTGATGTTTAGCTACTAACAATTAACAAGAAATGAACAAAATAGAAACAAGAACTGTCAACAGGAAGGGATACGAAAGCAGGAATTAAACTTTGAATAGAGAGCACAGCTTAAGAAACATGACAATGTTCTGATTAGGAGTATCTTAGGTAATAAAATTCTAAGCAAAAAAAGAAAAAAAAACAACAAGGAACCTGATGCCATATCGAAATTAGTCCGGCACAGGCGATAAGGTGGACCTGTAAATGCAACTGTGTAACTTTAACAATGTAGAAACAGCAAAGAATAAGTTTCTTAATAGAGATGAGAAAGTAAAAGCAAGAAAAAAATTGTGATAGGAGCAGCTAAGAGAAGCGAAGACGAGATAGAATGATTGAAAATGAGACCTGAACAAATTATAAGGAAAAATATATTTAGAAGAATAGACAAAAGAATGACAGTAAAGAAACAACTTTTTATAAGGGAACTTACTAAAGCACCAAGAAACATACTTTTCCTTTTGTGCAATGCATTCTTCCCACGTTTTTATGGCCTTGTTCTGTTCGGCGGAATCACTTTTGCAGGAACTCTTATCGGAATGAGAATTTCCATTATTGTTTTTCCCATTTCCTAAGTACGACCGTGGTAGACGAATTGGACCTTCGAACGGCTCGAATGGATCAAAACCATCGTCCAGACTCCTAAGTAGCAATTTACGCAATAATATGAGAACAACAATTTCTTCGACGTGCCATACGCATTCTTGCGCTAATAAAACATATTTATAAGCACAAAAAATGCACGTAAATGCATTACATATGCATATATATGTAAAAGTAAATGTATACATATACACATACATGTCCCGTCTGTCACTTGTTGTCCTCTTCATCGGCGGATGACTCGCTGGAGCACGTAAATTTTCTATCGGTTTCTATCGTATTTAACATCAGTCCAGTAGGTACTGCTCATTCTAGGGAGTCGTTAAACATCATATCGTGTTTCTAGACTTTTCGTGAAAAACTCTAACCATTGACTGACTCGGTGGTCTTCCTGCAGTACGTTTGACATCCCGACGAATGTACACATTAACAGATCATATCCATCGGTTGTCGTTAAATGTACAACTTGTTCGGCCTACCTTATCCTTGAAAATTTGCCTTACACAACGGTGTATCCGATTCTTGATCGTTAAAGCAAGTGTGAACTTCGGATTCGTTCTCTCACTTGAGTGATGCAGGGTAATCCTTGCATCGTCCTCTCGAATGCGCGTTCGATAACGCTGTTATGTTTCATGTTGCTTGCGCAGGATCAGGTTTCCGCCACGTGCCTTCAGATAGCAAGAATCGTTTAGTGGAAAAGACGGACAAGAAGTCGGATGTTCTTCGTTCTCCTCATTACACCCTCGATGCTCTTGAAAGCTCCTCAATACGCTCGTTTCCTTCTGCTCAACGCTGGAGCTAAGTCATTCACCATGCTGATTTCCTGACCCAGATAGACATAACAGGAGCACTCAAAAGTATTTATGCCGGTAAGTGTGAATGTGGTCACTAAAATAGCTGCACTTGTACAATAGCACGGTTTTGCTGGTTTTCCATGGTGTAGGGCTCGTATTCTGTTCGATTCTTCATCGACGAAATAGAATGACGGATTTCAAAAGGAGAAACCGGTAGTACGACATATCCGTCTTTCCTTATTTCATACAAGAGCAGGAGGATTTGGTTATTGAAATGATCCAATTAGTAGCTGTGAACGATTTTATCAATTGCCTTGCTGGAAACTGTAACTGCTCCGTCTCGGCGTCGGAGTACAACCATCTTAGTTTGGTCATTGGCGAAGTGTCCGTGTATTTTGCGAATGCTTTCTCCAACGTTTGCATCTTCGAACAAAACCGCAGCACTTCTCTTTTTAAGAGTTTCTTTTACTTCCTGTCGGCACTGTTTTGGAATCGTGGAAGTGAGTCGAGCGTTTCTAGAGATAGATGTCTTTTGAAGGCTTTCTACCTCAGCTTTCACAGTGCTTACGTGAACCGACTCCCCTACTCTCGCATGTTCCCAAGAAGTTCTTCTCCGGTATGATATACGGCGTTGAATGGGAGGAGCTTTCTCGTCTCAGCCAATCCGATGACAGCGTATTTAATCCTCCTTGCCCGCATGCCTCTACATAGGGTTTCGATACAAGTGAATACGCAGGTACAAATCATCACCCTATTCCTTGGAGATCCAGACAGCCCAGAATGGAACTAAGATTTTACCAGCCACTCCTTGCTCGTTTTAGCCAAAGTTGCCGCATCAAGGCTCTTTCGTGGTTAAGGGATTAAGGTCCACTTAGTTTAGTGTTTAGGACTTTATCCGTACCTGTATATGCACTTATATGTTATGAAAAATTATAGATATGACATATATACAGCACAAAATTATATATGTATGTATAACATGCATATAATTTTATTACCTCAGTAATTTACCATTACTAATACTTAAAAAACAAAAAAAGGTGGGGGCAAAGTCTGAAGATAAGCAAGCAATGTGTTAGACATATGTATATATATCAAATGATTATCAATTTTTACTGTGCATTCACGAACCAGTGAAATAGCACTTGTTTGGTTTATACTACAATCTAAAAAAGGCGTGAGTGGCCGAATAGCAGTGATGCCGTTCAGTCGCGGAAACGTCTATGTTCAACCGCGCATCGAGCTAACTAAGACCTTCAGACCTTCATGCCTTGGTGTTCAGAAAATTGATAGGAAAATTTCGCATCTAACGCATCTAATACAAGAACTTGGTGGGATACGTGATACCACAATACGTGATACCGGGTCAGAGAACACCTGTAAAGTTTGTCGTATTTCAGAAAGAAACCTGTAATTATGATCACGTTCTCTTCGGCTACCAGTCGCCGTTCTTCCTTTTTTGCTTTCATGAGCTCGTCTATCGTTGAAACTGCATTCTCGTTTACGATTAAAGCGATCCTGCAAAAAAGAAATGGTGCACAAATACCACTGAAACAAGAAAAGAATTTTGGTGAAATACCTTAAACCTGTCTCGACTGTTACCCCGCTGTGTGCCGTGATCGCGCCGACCATCACCACGATCACGTGAGCCTCTGCGAAATTTTAAACGAGGTCCTCCTTGGCCAGCTCGGAAACCACTTCGGAAACCACCACGACCTCTACGCATAGCACAACGATCAGATCCCTCGCTACTACCCTTAATTTTTCGTAATCATAAGATGTAACTTCGACACAAATAAAGTTTAAGCATTGCAGTAAAAGGACATGAATTTATATGAGTATCTATATTCATAACATATATCTATCCACTTTGTGTTTCTCTCATATATTTTTATTAATGACAAACATCTTCACTGCGAGACTAGTAAAAGTTCACATTCAGACATTGTTTAAATGCAGTGCTGAACGTGATTGCACGGCAATATGGTTAACATCACTGCAGAATCCAGGAAAATAAAACGAAAGAAATTACAAAAATACGTACCACTTCAGCCGCGCGATACATTGCACGGGATGCGCGCTGTTTTTCTCTTATTTCTTCAGCTTCTAGTTCCGAAATAAGCTGCAAAAAGAAAACAAACATGAGAATAAGAGCAACTGGACATAGAGAGTGATTCAAGGCATAACTAGGTATGAGGCACCCCACCTGATGCGATGATATGAACTCTGTATTCAAAGTGATAATAATCCTCGGATGATTGACAATAACTCTGTTCCGCATATTATGCAAAAAATCCTTCCCAAAATTAATCCCATAGTACCTATAAAGAACGAGATAACGGTCACTAAACAACAACACAATTTTCAACTACTTGACCACCTTTCCGACTCCATGTCTGGAACAAGCATAAATCCATTGACACTTTCTATTCCAGCTTCAATAAACGGTGCCATTTTTTCCATGTCTAGATCTGACTTCGATACAATGCAACCGTGCTGACGCGGTTTAAGAAACTGACGTAGGACCTAAATGTTTGGTGCAAATAGTGCAAAGAAGGAGAATAATAACAGCCGCTTAAATGAATAAAAAGTGCCATTTGCTGGAATTATAATTGGTGACGATAGGAAAAATTTGTGGGAAAACATTTCCATACGGACTAAATTCGGGTAAACAAAAATATCGGTTTTTGCCTTTCAATCCATTAAATATTAAGTAACCCCAAGGGACACCAATAAGGCCTTCACTTGTTCCCGTCGTGCGTCGTGGCTGATCCGTGAGACTCGACAGACAAAAGTAGGATAACACTCCAATAGGATGCCATATACTTTTACGGTTTTTACGAAGGTATTCGATATCACAAAAAGAATGCTACAATTAAAATGCTGAAATTTTAAGCTCAACTAACTGTTTCGACTCTTATCGTTTCGGGTATATTTTGGACACGGTAGGAGTATTGGGAGGCCGTTCCATCTTCTAGCTGCTTAGTGAAAATAAGATCAACACACCAGAAAATAGTATCTGAGAACTGCTCATGTCGCGAAGAATCTTCACCACCTAGGGAACTAATACTAATATTGAAATTCATAATGAAGGAATCATCATTTACAAAAAGGAAATGCACTGAAGACAACTTCTGGGCCAAAAACAACGAATTTGAAAAGTTAGAAACTTAACCTTTATCATTAGTAAAAGACAGCCATATTCTGCGACGCAAGGCACTTTGTACGAGGTATCGTTCCTGTGCCGAATTAGCCTTAATGAAATAATAACTGATCTTTATATGTAGATTTGGTGCACTCATACGTCCAATGAAACCAAATAAAAAAGCGAAAGAAAAAACGGTGATACAGACACTTGCGCTACCTTATATCTAAGCCCTTCAGTACATTCGTCCACGTTGTCGATTCCACTTGACGCAGAACAATTAGCATCCTTGGCGTTTTCTGTGTACGCTTTTGCCAGAAACTAAAAAGAGATATTAGGGCATGACATGATAATAATGCAACTAAACTTAAAAATGCACACCAATGGCTGAAGTGAACTTTGTTGGTCAGGAGACATAGAATTATTCACTTGAGTGGTACTTATGTTATTCTTAACAGAATAAAGGAACTGTTGGTCCTGGATAGATTTTGATGTGTCGAACTGCGAAAGTTTCAACACCGGTTGATACGGAGGACGTACACCGTCGCACTGAAATATAAAGAGGAAACTGAAAAATTCGTGTAAGTACAATCGAAGAATAGATAGAAATAAAAAATAAAATGAAATAAAGGATAAAGGATAAGTGCAAGGATAAGACACCATTAAGCATCGTTGGAGGTGGCTGAACTATCTGGCCTTTACAATGACTCGTGGTGGCCTACTGATGTATCGAGCCAGTGTTGATATTCACCCAGAGAAGTCTAGTACGAATCTGGTTACCCCGAAGGGATGAAAGGCTTGGCGGGCCCAAGGCGCGGGGATCAACCCCATGTGCATTGCAGGGTGTCTCCTACCACTGCGCTACACACCACAGAATATATAGAAAAGCAAATAGTATCACAACAGCAAAAAGTATAAATGCATACCTGTTTAACATCTTTGTGTTTCTTTGAACATGGCAAAGAACACGTCCTGATATCACACTTTGGGCACCTGAATTTGGAGCAAAAAAGGATATATTAATAACAGCATACAATGATTTTGAAAAAAACGTGCTTGAAAATGATTCAGTATACCAATATTTTTCAAATATCTCTTAAATCACAGCGAAATTTTGACTGAATTAAGGATCAATAAGATTTTACGATAACATAGAACCTTCCTTCCTCTGAATTAAGTAAAATTTTGACCTCCTGAAGGCTAAAACCTATATCTTTACGGTTCCTTTCTGTTGGGATTAGCATTTCGAACAACGAAGTACAAATACTCCGTTGATCTTGCTACTATCGCTATTGCTTCGAGCATTTCAAAACTTGAATCCAGCCGTCTTCAACATTTCGAAGCATTGAAAATTTGAGGCGAATTTGAATAAAATGTTTCAGAAAAATAATTTACATACTGGTAGGCCACATGTAGCGCAGTAGTCGGAGGCACTCTGCAATATACATGGGATCGATCTCCGCGCCCCAGACTCACCAAGACTTCCATCCCTCCGGGGTCGACAAATTAGTACCAGACTTGTCTAGGAGGATATCAGCACTGGTTCGATACATCGGTAAAGCATCACGAGTCATTGTAAAGGCCAGATATGCATCCAGTCACTTCCAAACGATGACTAATGAAGTCGAATGTATGGCGTATCGCTCAGGATTTGACTAACGCCGAGAGCTTTATCCTCTTATTTAATTTATATTGGTAGATCAAAAGCACAAACTCTCTGGAGGGAGGGATAGCTTAAAATGTAATTTCAGGACCACTTAACTTCATGACATTGAAATGAAGTACAGAGTACGGATTATCATAACTATTGTGGACAGTAGGCTCGAATCATCGCGGCTTTGTAGCAAGACGTGAACGCCAAAACTTTTATCTCAACAAATATTTACAACAACCATATTACAGGTTACTGAGAAAACAAGGCTATGATCAAAGTTAAATTTAAAGTCTTAACCGCGTAGACCATATTGTCCACTATGGGTGTACCAGTATGAAACATGGGAAAATAAAAAGAAATGAAGGAAATAAACAAACTGGCGATGGATGAAGATGGTAAAACAAGTAATCAAACCTGTACTTATACGGGGTTTTCTGGCACATTACGCAAAGCTTAGGATCAATATCTGACTGAAGTGGCATGTTCTCTTCTTTCTGAAAGCAAAGAATATGAAGTCAGAGATGATACTTGTCAAAAAAGTCATTAGAAGATTTTCTTAAAGTTCTCGGCAAGACAGAATACGAAGCTAATGTAAAACAAACGCGTAACTCCGTTCTCAGCGAAAAAGCAAATATGGAGTGAATTCTAACAGCGTGAGTTAAAAACGTAGCTTTTCGTAGAACAGTAGACACTGAGAAATGGCTTAAAACGTACTTTTTTAGCAACGCTATTCAAAATTTCCTCCGGAGGTCCGTCATCGGATGCGGACCCTGGGTCATCAAGGCCAATAGAACAGTCTGGAAACAAATAATAACATGAAGGTGACATAATTCTCAACAAACGTTAACATTTGAATACAGCACCCTTTGAGTGCGTCCTGGAATCACTGGATACACCTTCACTTTCCACAATTTCACCATCTTCGCCTTCCGAGGATTCTGAAAACAAATCTGTCAGTAAACGTTTAACACAGCATTGATGTAATTCTCGAGCAATAACGGCTAAAAAAGGATAAAGCTTCCCGCCTTGATCAATCCCTAAGGAATGCGCAATGCATTATACTCCATTCGTGGCATCATTAGAGGTATATGGATGCATATCTGGCCTTTAAGATCACTCGCGGCCGCCTACCGATGTATTGAACCAGTGCTGCTATCTTCCCAAATAAATCTGGTACCAACCTGCCGACCTCGGAGGGATCGAAGGCTTGGTGAGCCTGGGGTGTGTGATCGATCTCATACATATTGCATGGCGCCTCTAACCACTGCTCTATACGCACCTCTCCCGATCAACGCGAGAAAAAAACAAGAGAAATATGAAAATCTAGTACCGTTTTTTAGTTTACAGTCCTCATCTTTAGAAATAGACACGGGTGTCTCAGCAGTCATTCTTCTCAGCAAAACTGCAGAAAAAATGTGTCGCTTTACCCGATGCCGTCCAACTGAAAACACGTTCGTGAGACGGAAAGAAAACCCACAGAGAAAAACTCACACTGTTAAGCTCCGCTGAAGGAAGAATTTTGGACGTGGAACAAATTGTACTTCGTGAATTACGGAGCTCTCGTGCAACTATACGGTGTAGTTTCATTGACAACGGTTTGCCATGTCGACCATCCCTTCCCTAATTTTTCTTCTTTCTTTTCGGACTAGTTGCGTCTTATTTTCGTCTTTTAGTGCAAACCAAAGTAGTTTGTTGAAAATTTCGAGATTTCAAGCCTCAAAAGACTTTTTAAACGATGCTTACAATTAATTTGTACGAAGTTTTTTCGTTGCCTTCACAGTTCTATCGAGTACTTCGTAATATTATGAGGAGACGCGTGTAGCACAGTGGTTGGAGGCACTCTGTAATCCACATGGGACCGACCACGGCGCCCAATGCTCACCAGGGCCTTCATCTCTCGGGCGTCGTTAAGTTGGTACCAGACCTGTCTAGGACGATGGCAGCACTGGTTCAATGAATCAGTAGGCCATCGCGAGTCATTGTAAAGGCCAGATTTGCATTCAGTCACTTCTAACGATGCCATGAATGGAGTATAATGCATGGCGCATCCTTCATCACCGCCGAAAGCTTTATCCTTTATCCTCTATCCTTTATTTCGTAGTGTTGTCATAAATAATAAGTGTCAGTTATTTCATTTCGTGCCCTTCCATCTGTTTTACACCTTTGTCTTTTATTTCAAAGTATGATGCATGCGTTCTTACAGATAGCTGTTATTGGTTAGAGTTAGTTCAGTCGTCGTCCTTCAGCAAACATGGTTAGCGAGCCTTACTTTCTTGTTGGGTTCTTTGTTAGTGTTTTCGTTTTCTCAGGCAAGAAATGCGGAAAAAGCTATGACTGCTTTGGCACGTTGGCGACGTTTGAAGGAAGAAGAGGAGAAGGTAAGCAGTCATTTTAACAGCTTTTCTTCGTAGGTATTGGTAGTTTGTCGAAGATTACCTTACTCGTCATGTCCTTAGGGGCACGAAGGAAATCAATTTCCTTGTGTTCAAGAACCAAAACGTCCTTGGATTTTCTACTGTTGCAGAGGGGTGGATAGCACAATGATAGTAGTGTCGGTAATCACAAACATGGTGCTAGTTCGATCCCGTACCTGGCTAACCAAACTTCTCATCCCTCCAGGGTCGGGAAATTGGGAACGGACTTGTTCGGGGAAAATCGCTTTCCGCAATCCAGTTGGGTACGCTCCAGTCTGGCTATCTCAGGACTCCAGGGAGAACCGACTCGAATTCTGCGACAGTCAAGATGAAATGGAAATCCTCAAGCAGTAGCCGAAGCTGAACGTGAAAAGTTGGAAGACCATAATGAATAATGGATTCGAGGAAACGAATCGAGTGTGGGAATTACTGGGATCCGTACAGCAGACGTGAAGACGGGTCATATAAAGAAAAACAAAAAATGTTGTGGGCGAAATCTATTTAATTATTGTTTTGTTCATTGTAGTTTTATTGTTCTATGTATCCGTTGCTGAGCTTTCACAGAGCCGTATATCTTGGTGTAAAACACATTCGTAAACTATCTTCTACAAGTTCAGGGACCAATCGCTAAGAGACCGCATGATACAAGCCTCTGTAACAATCTTACAGATGCTGAGAGGTTTCGCCGAGAGGTAACTGACACCTTTTCAGCCTTAACTTTAGATGGAATTCTCGTCTTTTGTTCTCGTTTGAGTATATGCTTAAATTACTCAGTCATTTTTTCTATTTCTGGTTGCGAAGGAGATTGCGAAGAAAATTGCACTTATTCAAAACCCCGGTCTAGGCGAGTTCAAAATTCGCGACTTGAATGACGAGATCAACAAAATGATAAGAATCAAATATGCTTGGGAAATGCGCATAAAGGATCTTGGAGGAATGGACTATAGGTATGTTTTTCTTCCCGTATATTCAGCGGGTTATTCATCCTTTTAGACATTTTGTTCCCAGCGAATTTTGTGGTTTTAAAGTGGCATTTGTGTATTAGTACTAAGGCCATTTAAGATAACTTAAGAGGACCTATTGATCTAACAAGTCAATGGTCCTATGCTCCTAGCCAAATTCAGTACCAATTTGCCTACCCAGAGAGATGATTTCATAATTATTCTGTGGCACTTTGATTCCGAGAGCAAGGATTTATAGATCTATTTCTCGTCAATGATCTAATTGCATTAAACTGTTACTAAATGAATAATTCAGTTTGAGCTCTATGAGAGGTTTTTTTTAGGAAAATGTCTGCTCGTGAACTTGACAAAGAAGGTCGGGAAGTGGCCTCTAACAAAGGATATAAATATTTCGGTGCGGCCAAGGACTTACCTGGTGTTCGAGAATTGTTCGAGGAGTCCAAAGAACTAGAGGTTCTCATAAACAGTTCTTTAGTTCTTCATGCATGCTTGAAGTTACTAATGTTATCACATTCGTTTCTAGCAAATGCGAAAAACACGAGCAGAGTTGATGAGGAATGTTGATGCAGATTATTATGGATATTTGGATGACGACGATGGATTGTTAATCCCTTTGGAGCAAGAGGAAGAAAAGAAAGCGATTGAACAAGCTAAAGAAGTATGATTCTGTAGTAGTTCTTGATTCGGTAGTCTTTTAACAGTTTTCTTAGTTATCTGTTATACTTACAATTTTCATCCTTTTATCGTCAATCTTTCAGTATTTTGCTAAGCATGGGGCGGAGCGGTATCAGAAGGAATTTGGAGACGATTTGGATGAAGATATTTACAAAATTCAAGATGTAGATGACTTCATTTCTATTTGTTTCAGTATCCGTTTTCTACATTTTAAAAACCGTTACTTTCATTTAAACAGGACCTCTTGACATTTGCTGAAGAAACCAAACACAGGTGATCTGTGTGTTGTACGATAGAAAGTGTTCTGAAAAGTAATACAAAAACTTTTATGCTTTTAAAAACCGACTTTCCTTTAACCTCGGTGTGGTCAATCAATATGTGATCGTTTTTTGATAAGCTTACATCAGATCGGTAAATGATTCTTGTTCGGCTAACGTTTCGACGTTTTCCTTTTCATAAGAGGCGATGATTCGAGTTGGTGTCCACATTCTTTCGTTCTCGCAATGTGGGGTGGAGATTTACTGTCGGATCATCGGCTCCTGATGAAAACGATAGCGTCGAGACGTTAGCCGAATAACAATCATCTATCTCGTGTAAGCTTATCAAAGAAAGATTACATTTTGCTGCTTTTCGCCAACCATTGTTTATCCGCTTTTGTTCTCATCGAGAGTTATGAACATCAGTATTTTCAGGATTCGGATGATGACGATATTGACACAAAAGAGTCCATCGTTGTAGGCGAGGATGGAAAACAAATGACAATAAAACACGTTCTGGTATGCCTCGCTTCCATCTTAAAACGTTTCCTTAAATACGACTGATTATGGTATATATTGCATTGTTTTTAAGGTACCAAGTCAAGCTGATATTGAAGAAATGATTATGGAAAGGAAGAAGCAAGAACTGATAGAGAAGTATCTCAGTTGATTTAATTACTGCATTACTTTCTAGTATTGTGTTGCTATGTTCGCAGAGCTGAGTCTCAAATCTCTGCGGCGATTCTCATTTTCTGACGTAATAAGGTGACGTCGCCAGAAGGATATAAGCCGCTCGTTGTTGTTATTTTGGGTATTATTTATTTCATAACCATCTCTTCTTGACGGCCGAGACCTACTTTGGAAGTGCTTTTTCTGAAACCTTTACGAACATGTTGCGTACTTTTGGAACCAGTGAACTATATTGTTCGATGAATCTCTGACTTTGTTGGGTTTCGAAACAACCGTACTCTTAAGACGTCGGCTTTTATTTTTGATAGTCGACAGAGAATGAATGTTTTGTTGTATTCGCAAACTTGTTCAGTATTCAACTCCATTGAGTTCTACTGAATGCTACTACTAAGATCCACATCGTATCGCAAGAGTGCTGCTGTGGGCACATGGATAGAATCATTGTGACTGTGAAGAAATCAAGGGCGTTGAAGCACTTACCACAAGTCTTTTATACGGACGTCGTATTAACTTAAGATGAAAGAAAGGTAGCGCTTTTGGTGTCGATCAATCCCTGTGAGTTGCGCCATGCATTCGACTTCGTTAAGTATCGTTAGAGATGGCTGAATTCATATCTGGCTTATACAATGACTTATGGTGGTCATATGATGGACGTATGAAGTCACTGCTGCTATCATGTCAGACAAGTACCATTGTGCTGACTCTCCAGATCAGTGGAGGGCTTGATGAATCCGGAGCGCGGGATCGAACCAGAGAGCACGTTTGTGTTGCAGGAACCTCTAACCACTGCGCTACATGCGCCTCTAAAGTTATGAATAGAGCTAGATCGCCATGGGGTTGCTAAGATATGAGCAGAATTTGGGACTTCAGTTGGAGAGCGAACTCACGATTATACATACCGGAGACTTACGTGCTATCCAGTGCACCACCGAGGCCATTGCTTTGCCTTCATCTCAACCATGTTTTTCCACTGCTGGCGTAATTAGGAATCATCCATTAACGAGAACGATCTGAGGACTGCAGATCGATATTGAACCCAATTAAGTTGCAGCTGTGGCGCCGGTTCGAAACCCGACTGACGTTCCTAGTTTTAATCACAATCTTAACCGTTTTATTTACTACCTACTCTTTTTAATGGAAGCGTATTTTGCGAAATATAACTTCAATGATGCTGAGATATTGGCAAAGCTCAGGACCGCAGGTGTCTGGGGTGAGGAATGAACGCGCTATTGTCCTTTCCGGGGAGTAACGCGTTCACCACCACACCATGCGGGTCCTTCGTTTCCTCTATCTCTCAGCTACTTCTATCGATCATTTGCCTTCAGCAATCAACCTTCAAGGGGAAGTTCTTATGAGGTTTTGAATTCCTAGTTTTGTCCAGCGTCTTTGTGGTTATAATTCACATCTTACCTTGCCATGAAAAAAGATAAGCAGTAAATAAAAGTTAGAATAGGACAATAAGTCCATGTCTAAGTGTAAGGCAATAATTTGTCTAGGGTGTAGCAACGGTGTAGAATGCGTTGGTATTTGTGGGTCAAAATGTCAACTTTGCTTCCTCGTACGTTCCACAGCTGGGGTCCCCATTTTCATGGGGACACTTTTCTGATACTCACGTGCCAACAGTTTAGAAGTGTTTAAGAAGTTTATTACTACTGGTGGAACGTAATCAGATGTCACCTCTGTAACAAGTGAAACTATTTTACATTTATATATGTGTGCCATAGATAGTTACTGAACGATGAGCACAAAAAAAAACATGACATTCATAAGAGTATTATGGTTAAGACGAAAACGAGCAATGAAAGATCAGTTTTTGCAGTATGGTTGCAGAAATCTCGTCCAGAGCAAAGGCAGAGTTTTTCGCCAGTGGAGAGCTCTGTTCGACAACCTTCCGGATGATAGGCGTGGATCAAGGAGTCGTGAGGTAGGCAGGTCATCGCTGTTGATACTCCACCCGCGGGGTGTTGTCTGGAAATGTGATGTATGACGTTCGTGTACCACTGAAGGAAACTAAACAGCATATGATAGTAAAATAGTAAATATGGGAAAATTTAGGTGATATATAGGTGCACAAAGGTTGTCAACACAGCTTGACGTAGATTAGTTTCAATCCACATATGGAGTAGTAGAAAAGGAGCGGGGGCAAAGTGGTTCGTTACGAATTGGCTTTCACTCATACGCGGCCTTTATTTTTTGCGGTTTGGAACACGAGACAAACATTCAGATTACAATGAGTCTCACTGATTATGATGCCAACTGCCAGGATCTACAGATCTCTAGCAAAAAACACAAGTTCTATTTTAGAACGGCGAAACTCCGACTTTCTGGATCAAACAGGGCTTTTTTCTTAGGGTAAAAAGGATAAAGCTTTCGGCGTTGATCAATCTCAGAGATGCGCCGTGCATTCGACTTCATTAAGCATCGTTTGGAGGTGACTGGATGCATATCTGGCCTTTACAATGACTCGCGGTGGCCTATCGATGTATCATGCCAGTGCTGCTATCCTCGCAGACAATGCTGGTAACAATTTGCCGACCCCCGAGGGATAGAATGCTTGGTGGGCCATGGGCGCAGGGACCGGTTCCACATGTGTGCCGCAGTGGCGCCTCCAACCATCAGAGTGGGAAAAACAAGTTACTATGACCGGATAATCACAGCTATCAAACAGCAGCATCCTGTATGAAAGAGCATCACCGAGTGAGTATGCCTCATTCGAGAGATGGTCCGCTGACGAAGACACAACTCGATACGAAGGCGAAGATGCCACAACGAGACGAAGAGGAACGGTGGACTATCGACTCTGATGAAGACAAAGACTTCGAAATGTTAGCCGAACAAATCTGTTTATCAACCTCGTGTAAGCTCATCAAAGAAAGAATAAATGTTGCTTAGTAATACCGAGGCTAAAAGGAAGTCGGTTTTGAAAAACTGGCATTTGTACTTTGTAGAAAAAAGATCCATCAAAGTCGTTCCAAACTAAACGTTCGAGCACCATATCTGTCGCTGCCATATTGCTGGCTCTTTTGGTGAAAGGGAGTTGCAGTCCTTTATTTTTACTGTTTTTTTTTTTCAGTAAACATGCAAAGGTGACTTGTGCGGCTTTCCAAAGATGGCGATCAACTTGATTTTTGGAGCCGACATCAAAAGTCAATCCAGAAGAAGAGACAGGAAATTCATCCCTTGAATCTTTTAGGTCACAGGGTAACTAAAAGGCGCTCTAGATCAGCGTTGTACAACCTATCATTTTTTAAAAATGACCCTTTTCGCACATCTATTGTGCGGATGCCAGTGCTTCCTGCATTCGATTCCTTCTCCTAGCATTCATCGTCCACAAAAGCGTTGGAAGATTTTGTGTGTTCTTTCGACTGCTGCTTGAGGATTTCGTCTTCTTTATGAATGTCTTACAATACTGGTCAAGTCGACCGTCGTTGCTTGCTATCTTGGAGATAGCAGGACTAGGGCGTTCCCCTTGGATCGGGAGAGAACGTTGAGGCGGAGGGGACGAACTGGCGCCTTTGCTTCTTGATCAACGTCAGCAGTAACCACTTCGCCCCAGCCTCACATCCTATCATCTATACTGCGGAATCAAATAGGAAATTATAGACTGTTTTAAACTAAGTTTAATGAGAGTGGGCTTTTAAGATTCACCTATACGTATAGATGGCCTGTCATTTTACTTTGTGACCAGTCTGAATATCTAAGAAAGACATTCTTAATTCCACTCACACTCATCGTTTCATTATATATGACATGCAAGTGGAAGCAAATAACTATGGCTTATCCGTAACGACCGTAAGTTTTCAGTATAAATACCACATCTGTGGTTGATACCTCTGAACGCGGAGGCATGCAGCACCCTCACAAAACGAACATGTCGAGTCACAATCGCTACCGTCGACGCACCATAACGAAAGACCTAAAGGGGTGAAAATCATCACAAGAAATTCTAGCCTATTTATCAGCGAGAAATTTTAAGTTTTGGATAAAACGAAACAGTTTAATGAGTTCTGGTACTCTTAATGCTAAATGAAGTTCTGAATACTATTACAAGTTCCATTTGTTCAGTTAGGTAGTACTTCGTTTTTATTTATTAGCTTAAATGAGGTTATTAGAGAGAACTCTTTATTGTGGCTGGCGTCTGGGCAGCTTCGTCTTCTTCTGAGCCGCAACAAAAATTCCGAATCAGAATTCGAATCTACGAACTACAAATTCGACTGGTGCTGCACTGGATTCGACTGGATGGAACTATAAAGACCCACATCGCAAGGAACAACTGCTGTGGATATTCGGTTCGAATTTGCGTGGCTTCGAAGGAGGAGAAGGTACCGAAGCATTGGCCGAATAGAGATTTGGTATTAACTTCATTTAAGTTAATGAATACAATGATTATTGGTGATTCATGCTAAGGCTAAATGGAAGTCGCTTTTTAAAATTATTTTTGCTCAATGGCCAGAAATTGTTTTAGATTTGTGAAAATTGTTGTAAGGATTTTGAAAGCTAACCGGCATGCTTCTTGCCTCTTTCATAAAAGCAAAGTCTTTAGAATCCCAGAGAAAAAAAGACGACAAGCAAGTCCAACAATTTGTGCCTTTTTGTGATAATTGTTTCTTATTGGATTCCTTTGCCATTATAAAGAGAGTACCCAGAAAAAACTCTTGGATGCGTAAACGACTTTGTAGGCAATCGTCCAAGAAATACTGAGAATCGATATAGATGGACCTCGATTTCTTCATTCCTGTTATGAATAGTGCATTATATGAATATAGTAGGAATTATATAACTGTTTAATCGGTGGCTTTTCGTTACCGACTAATAGTTACGAATCTGGACCATTAGATCTTTTCTAAAGTTATCTCAAAGACATAGGAGAACCATAGAGGAAAAAACAAAAGGTGAAAGTAACAGCACATTTTATCTATACTTACTTGTCGTGATCATGATGAGAAGAAGAACGACGACGAGTCTCATAGGAGCATTTCGGGCGGAAATTACCGATCCGGATGGCTAACGTCACCGGCAGCAAATTCACACCGGCACACACAGACGCACAAGTCGACGATGTAGAAGGTAAAGAAGACTTTTAGCTGAACAATGATCGCGATTCGAATCCTCTAATAATGGTGATATTATCGAAAAAAGCGTTTGCACAGGTTTCTATGAGAAGTCAGAACTTTTTAGAACATGAGGAAACGAAAAAATAAGGAGAAAAATGAGCTAAAAACATTCTATTTCACCCATAATTCACTACCGTAAAAGGATGAAGGATAAAGCGCCCGGTGTTGATGAAGCGATGAGGGATGCGCTGTACATTCAACATCACTAAGTTTTGTTAGATGTGATTGAATGCGTGTCTTGCCTGACTTGTGCTTCCTACCAGCGTATCAAATCAGGGTTGTATCTCCTCAGAGAAGCATGGTAGCAATTTCTCGAGGTCGTAGAGATGGAAGACTGTGAGTTAGGGGCGAGGGCCGAACTAAATTACAAGCTAGTATGAATTGCACGGCATCTTTAATCACTGTGCTACCGCTGCACTATAGTGGGGTGTACTACCTCAAAACAAAGCTGTATGGAAAGCCAAAACCGAAAACGCTCATTAGCAAAATAGTGTAAATGCTACGGCTATGTTATTGGATATATGAACAAGAAAGCAAAAAGCGAGCATTGTATGTCTTATAGGTAATTTATGAGGAGCTGGGAAAACTGCGTAGGGAAAAGTGTTCAAAGGCAGGTGAGAGATGATTTTCAAGAGAAAAAACTGTTGCTTAAGTCGATGTGTGTGGCTGTAAAATTACGACGAAATGTAGGAAACTAAACAAAGTGCTAGGCATTAGAGGCACTTGAAAATTTGATTACATCAATGGTTGCTCTTCAAGAAGAATCTTACGGTCGTCAACATTATTTCCACGTGAATGGTAATTCACAGGAAGGAAAAAGATTTCTCTTTCAATGAGCTTTTAGTCAAATGTTTCCTGAAGCTGTCGCCATGGAAAGCCACCGGCTATTGGGAATCAAACGAGCATTTCCCATCTTGAGATTAGGTTGCCAGCATACCAGCAATTATTATTGATACTGATTTACTCGTAGATGAGCTATCGCATAGAAATGTTGTGCTCCTTCTCGGCACTCGAGAAAGCAGCTTGTTTGGTGAGGAGCCTCACCATAGATGCAGTTTGGAACAAAGGAACAGCCCTTCGGCCCTCATAGCAACGATGAGACAGTAAGTCATTAGGGGAGGAAACAAAGTAACCAGAACATAAAACAACTTGGTCTGCATTGTTTAGATACGTCCGTACTTTTTTACGCTGATAATCACTTTTTATCAAGGGTAAAGAGTCGATCCCTCTTTAAAATCTTGCAATAACTGCATACAAATCTTCGATGGCGTTCATGATTAAGTTAATTCGGCTCATCTCAGTTAGTTACTGGAAAATCACTTTATTAATAAAAAAATAGATCCACGAGTGCAGTTGCTCACACCTCCAGCACACATTTGAACAAAAATTACCAAGCATTATTTATTGCCAGTCCTCACTCGTCTACTTATACTAGCCATCCAATCAAATCACATGACACTCATTTAACTTACCATTTCTCGCTGAGGTTAGAATGATAAAAGATAAAGTGCTCGGCGTTGATCCACTTATGAGGGATTCGACTGCATTCGACTTTATTAAGCATCGTTAGAGATGAGTGAATACATATCTGGCCTATACTCGGGGTGGCCTATCGATGTATCGAGTCAGTGCTGCTATCCTTTCAGACAGGTCTGGTACCAATTTTCCGAACCGTGAGAAATAGAAAGCATAGAGAGCTCAGAGAGCTGAATCGTAGCAGTAAGCAAGTGTGCATTTTAGAGTACCTCTAACCACCACGCTAGACGTGCCTTCCGTCACTGAGGTTAGTGACGAAACATAAAAAAAGAAGAAAAGGTTTAAATTCCTTATCGCTTGTTCTATTTATCTCCTCTATGACGTGAGCTTAGGTTAAGCAAGTTTGAAATTTATGATGATAGTGTTTTAAAGATTCAAAGTTACAACGAATCTAATCGATTGAAACCGCTAGTGACCGTTTATCACGTGTCTTATTCAAATATAAGGAACCGACGACTTTCACACGATTAGTAGCAGAAGCAGTAAAAGTTTGAAAATTATCCGAAGACTGTTACCGTTTATGAATCCCGCTGACGGGTGATTGCTGATGGCGCTGATCGATTGACCTAGCTGAGAGACAGTCGAAACGAAGGAAACGCATGGTATGGTGGCGAATCCGTTAGCACCCGGAAAGAGTAATAGCGCGTTCGTTCCCCACCGCAGACAGCTGCGGTCCGGAGTCTTGCTAATATCTCAGCACCACTGTGATTGTATTTCGCATAATACTCTACCATAAAAAATTGTAATAGGCAGCAAATAAAAAGTTAATATTATACGGAGAATTCTTGTATGACAACAATAAACAAATTAAAGGGAGGTTTTCTTAGTCTTTTTATTACGAATTCACACAGAGACAGAAAGATGCAACGAGTGGCAACACAGAAGGAGAAATTCCGTGCCGGAAATTGGCGCCGAAATGAATTCCATCACACATTCATCGCCATTTCTATGGTGGCCTTAGCACATGAATCGATGCAACGTAAGCATTTTAGTTGATGAAAGTCGAAACAACTCTGTTCATGTGTATAAGGACACATTAATTCTACTTTATGTGAGCAACATTGATGTTCGTCCAGCACCGGCCTTATTACGTGGCAGACAAATCGACTCTATTTGGGCTAAGCGGTAATTTAATGTTTTTCTTGTTTAAACATGTATTTAGGAAAATGCTTGTGAAGAGCAAAGTTTAAAAAGAAAAGGATGGAAGAAGCAATGTCCTCGTTACAACATTTGTTTTCCGACTCACGTGCGAAGATAACGAAGAGGTTGGTATTCCTTAAGATTACTCCAGATAACAATAAAAAAGAGCCACGAAAGGTTTTTCCCTATCAAAAAGGAATTTGCTTAAAACATCACCGCACATAAGGATTTTCTTTACAGGGAAGAAAGTAGTTAGGAAAATTCAACAATCTTATGTAAAAGGTTCACCTATTTGCACATAACCGTCTTACAAATGTCTAAATGGTATCGTTGTTCTTAATAATATTCCAGAAAGTCATATAGTAGCAAACTCTTGGCGAACGATGATATAACGGCATAGCACAGCAAAATAACTATCCACCAATGAGGTTAAATAATAGGATAAAGAATAAAGCTCTCGGCGTTGATCAATCCCTGAGGGATGCGCCATGTATTCGACTTCATTAAGCATCGCTTGGAAATGATTGAATATTTACAAATCTGGCCTTTACAATGGCTCGCAGTAGCCTACCAATGCATCGAGCCAGTGCTGTTATCTTCCCAGATAGGTCTGGTACTAATTTGCCGACCTCAGAGGGATGGAAGGTTTGGTGGCCCACGGGCGCGGGATCGATTCCACGTGTGCGTTGCAGGGTGCCACCGACCACTGCGCCACATGCGCCCTTGCTAAAGAAGTTAGATGCATGAATCTTTGAAATGCTCACTATTACATCTTGAATTCCAGCACTCGTCTACTAGGAGTAAGTCAAAAGCAATTTTATATGACATGCTCATCGATGTTTACTTTTTGAGAGGTTTTCTTCTCGGTCTCCAACATCAGATATTCTTCGAGGGACTAAATTATAGAAAACTCGCTTGGTTTTCATCATGTTGGTTCATCTTCAAAAGACATCGTTGAAGCTCTCCGTTTATTCTATCTGGCTTTCTTGATGTGGCCAGAATATCATCTAATCGTTTTGCTGCCTTGTATTAAAATCGCTACGTCAAATGAGCACAAAGTTTGAGATAAATAAGATGCAACTGTTTCTATGCTTTCTTCAAGAGCTGATTTTTTTCTACGATTCACGCCTTTCCTACCTTTTTCG